GTCTCAAATAAATATTTTATAACCAAGGAAGGAGAGCGTGCGCTACTTTGTTAAAAGAATACTGCCCTTGAAAGGCATTTAATAAATGGGCAAAGAACAAAACAAAGTAGATCAAAACAAATATAGTAAATCTATCATTATCACTTTTATGTTGATAAAACATTCTCAATAATTGCTACGAGATCCTTTTATAATTACGGTTATTAACTGAATCAAGGAATATAAGAATTAAAATATAAAATATTAAGTTGTTTTTATAAAATGCTTATAATGCTTTTTTATACTCTTTTAGGGTCTTTTTCTGTGACCGACCCTATAAGTCATACATATTCTTGATCAGCAGGTTTTCGAATTGAAATTAATTATGAATTTGATTTGTCGGAAAAATTGTCAAAAAAATGCTCAATAAATATCGATATTTTAAGCTTAGTTATTATCTATTTCCGGTTCGAATTCCATGAATTCCAATTTTAATATACAATCAACCTAACAAACTATATAACTCTATTATGAAATAAATTTCTAATAGCATAAACCGTTCATTAGACATTCATTAACATCTAAATATAAATCAAATCGCTGTCTAAATAATAAACCTCCTCGAATTTCCCAATAATACATTATAAATACATGATTTTGATATATTTAGACATCAGTACGAGCAACGAACTCACCTGTCAATTTGATGGCGCAGAATTTACATTAAATTTCGCATTGGTAAAATGTTGTTAATTAGTTTCAACGTTTTGCCCTTTGTTTGCTTGTTGTTTTCCTTCTTGTTTGCTTTTGTTTGTTGTTGTTGTTGTTCGAGAATGTTTTTGGGCGCCAAAAAGTACAGTCACTAACACACACACACATACATACGCACGCAGACCAAAATGTTATTAGCTGTTGAAACTGTTATTTCCCCTTTCTCTCTTTATCTCTTACTTAGTCGCTCTCACTCTGATAACTAGTTCGGTCTCTCTCGCTCCCGTTCACTGAATCTGAATGGTGGGATGTTTATTGCGGTTTGGCGGCGTTTTAGATAATGCACTTGATCCGCTGTTAACGCATGCAAATTGCAATCGCAGTGCGTGGCAAGGGAGGGTTTGTCGATTTTTGCGTAATTCCTGGTTATCTGAGTTGCCTTTTGATGGATTGATGGATGCCAAAATGGGCAAAAACACACACAACACACAACTTGACTGAGAGAAATTGCACAAATAACTGAATTCAAATATTCCCCACTCCCACACACACACACACATATAAGAACGCACTAGGGCCAAAGAGCGAGAAAGAGAGAGAGGGAAAGAGCGGATGAGCTTGTTCAAAAATTTCTTACAAATTTTAGCTAAAAACCCGAAAAAAAAATTGAGCGACGAAGTGCAGTCGAGTGCATTTTAATTGATTTTTTCTTTTCCTTATTTTGTTAGTCCCCCGTCTTTCTCAGCTTTCACTCCAAGAGAGCGAGCAAGTGAGAGAGAGCAGTACGACTCGATATCTGACATCTCGCTCGGGCGCACGCTGCGTATGCGTAACATTTGCAATTGCATTTCTGCATTTTGCATTCCTTCTGAGTGAATTTCTTGAGTGAGTTTTCTGCAATGAGTTTCTTGAGTGAGTTTGTGACCGAATGAGTGAGTAAGTCTCACGGATGGACGATCTCCTCATTGCGAAATCGTAAGTTTTAATTAGCTTTTTGCTCCTGCCGTAATTTTGACAGCAAACAAAAGTTGCTGCTGCAGCATCAAATTTTTAATTAATTACATGTAAAAATGTTGAAAAATTGATGGCCCCATCCGTCCTCCGTTCCCCCCCACTTTTGGACAAACAATTAGCATTTCACAGTCCCAAAAATAATGCAAAAAGTATATAGAGAGCCACGGAGGGCACTCGGAGTAAGGGAAGGAAAGAAAGTTTTCCAAGTTTTCTGAGGGATAGCTTTCATTTTTTATCTAAGGCCGTTCTTTAGCTATAGGTATAGACGAACTTTTTAATATGAAAATTGCTCGTTTTGGGGTCGAGGAAATTAAGTGCTTGAATTGGGGCCCGGGGAAATGGACCCTTTCGCCTGGCGATTGATTCAGGTCTTGCAAAAGTAAATGGATTCGTATTTAACTTTGATGGAATTTTTCTCAAATGAATACTATTAAGGGGCTGTCTTTAAGGACATTTCCTTTTTACCTTTGACTTAATTTAGGCAAGAAGATTGTCTTGTGCTTATAATTCTTACTTTAAAGAGTTACTTTACAGGTATATTTTATATTGATAAGTTATAATTATGATATATATAATATTTCTTGTTCTATCCTAAGATATCAAGATATTAAACACTTTTAGAGTCTACCACAAAGGTATTTTATATATATCTTATATTTATATTATTTCTTATAAAAGTCATATATAGTTTTCAATTTAAGAGGAAATAAATACCAAAATGGTAAATTTCTTAAGAAACGCATAAATATAACTTACCTAGAAGCTATTTTAGAGGCTCTTTGGAATCCCTCTGTATGCAGCTGTCGAAAAGTAGGCTATGATTTGCAGGACTGATGGCTAAAGGCCTAATTTATGTTGGAGTTGGAAATGAATACCGACATTTATGGCCGATTCTTGATGTTAGCCTGTAAGACATCGATTTTTAAGATCTATTACAAAATATACTTAAAAACAAGGAACTTGAGAATATCATTTTGTTTAACCTATAGCTAATTTTATTAGGAAGTGTTTCAGTTTAAAATGCAATAAAATATTTTATAAATATTGTAATATATAAATAATCAACCAAAATAAATGTATAATAAACCTATAGATGTCTGAAAGCAATGCGACATTGATAAACAACAAGCTTCTATACAATAATTTAAATCTATATTAACTAATCTATCCGCAGGCGGCCTTATTTGTCATTGTAAACTGTTTATGTTTGTTACGCTTTGTAAGCTAATTGCGAGAACTAAATAAGTAATGTAGCTTGTTGTGACAGCGTAATATTCAATTATATTCAAAGCTATTGAGTAGATTTCCATCAAAACAATATATGTAACAGTTCTTGAGTTCTTCAACGATAATTTTTATATGTTTTTGTGAAGAGATTAAAACAAAACGAACTATTATTATAAGATTTTATCGATTCTGCTTTTTGATTAACTTTTCAAACTCGCTTTAGTTCTGTTTTTCTTAAGTCCAGTTACCAACTGAAAAACTTTAAAGAAATTAAAATAAAAATCAAAATAAGAAACTGGCATAAATGTTGAAATAAATGAAATAAGTTTGAAAACGATTCAAAAACAAACTGCAAGGACGAATGCGACTCTTAAGACCTCACTCACTCAAACTCAAAACAGGGTGTCTTATCCGAAATCCTTGCACTTCCTGGCTTGAGCATGCGCACAAATACCTCACGAATAACTCACTCAATTGGATTGCAGCAACAATGCAACACCTACGCGGCACAAAAACACACCTGAACAACCTGAAGTAATGCGGCAAACAAAGAGAGCAGGACGGAAAGAGAGCGAGAGCCGCATATAAAGAAAAGGACGCAAGAGAGAGAGAGCGCCAGCGGGCGGCGGAAAACAAACGTCAGCTGCATGAGAATCCAGCGGCAGGAACTTTGGCACAATTGTGCGACAGTTGCCATTGTTGGCCAGTGTAATGACACACACATACATGAGTGTGTTTGTGTGTATGAGTACAGTACAGGGAAAAGGTTCTAAAACATTTATGAATGAAATTGTGTATACTTTTTGGACACAAATGCAAAAGCATGCACTGGAAAAAAACCTTGTTAACGATTTGATGATATTTGAAATATCATTTTGCATTATTAAATTTTTAATTAATAGTATTTATTATTGTTTAATTGATTAAAAATCGATTAAAATTACTCTATGAGCCGGGCTGGAGAATTTTTTATGCCTTTGTAATCCTGTTAAAAGGCGTAAAAAAGTAGGCAATGAAATATTTCAGGCTTTTAAGTATAAAGAAAGGCTCTTTTGTTAACTTAAGTCTTAAAATATTTTAACATTTCTTCTTTCACAAATTAACCATTCTTAAATATTTTCAATAACTTAATTAACATCACATCGGAATAAAATTAACAATTCCATACTTCCAGACCTACTTGTAAGTGAAATACCTTAAGAAACCTCTTTTTTATAAATTGTTTTAAGTGTACTCTCTTCTACTTTTACGGGGACACTAAAATATTTTCCAAAAATAGAGCCTTGAAATTTGTCAATGTCCCAAACATGAGGTTAGCCTCCTTCCCTCTGAGATGATTGGATGCAGCAAATATTTCCACCAACGTCATGCATCGCTGATGAAAATTCGACAGCGAAAATCCTTCACAATGAACTCTCGGCCAACAGGCAAGCTAATCGCTGTGGAAATTCCAAAAAGCCAATACCACACCAATATAATCATATCCGTACGATTATGGTTGACCTCATCCGAAGGGCGTTGATGAGCATTGACCACGGGCCGGGCAGAGGCAATGAACCTCAAAGAGTGGAAAGCACCGTCCCGAGGTGGCAAACGCACATGACTAAGCCCACTCTGAACCAATTGTGTTTTTTTTCTTTTTGTAAGCCTAATGACTGTGTTTACGCCACAAATAAAAGGTGAACCCCTGACTAAAAAAATCAGCGCTCAACTAATTTAAATTGAACGCAAAACGGCTATCAGAATGACCGGCTGGAGAATGAGTAACCAGGGGGACCGATAAGCCCATAAGGGCATAAATAGTTTTTGTTTATGTTTCGTTTTGTTTTGTTTAAATACATTCGGGATTTTCGTTATGCCAAAAAATTGCGTATACGCCGCTTGGGTCATGCACGAACGAACAAACCGAGCGACCGGCCACTGATGGGCGGCCGATTAAGCTCCATTAAAAAAGCGTTTTATGCTTTATAAATCGCCAACGTTGACCGGCTTGGAGCTCCATATAAAAACAGTTAATGCCGAGAATTTTGGCATTCAGTCAACGTTCGAGGATTACACACAGCGAAACCATGTCAACGAAACAGACGAGCAGTTGCCGCTGGTTAACTCTGATCCTGCTGGCCATGTTTTTGCGCTTCTCCGAGTGCCAATACTACGGATATCCCTATTACGGCGGTGGTGCGGGAGCGGGTGCCGGAGCGGGCTCTGGTTATGGAAACATCTATGGCAATGGCGGGTACGGAGGATACCCCTACGGCTATGGCGGATATCCATACTACTCGTCGTACCCCAGCTACAACTACAACCCGTATTCGATGTACGGCGGATACGGGCAGTACGGGTATCCCTCGTTCGGCGGATATCCCTTCGGGGGCAATGGCATGAGTGAGTATTCCGTGAATTCCTCAAACCCTTCCCCAATTCCTTCACCCGCATAATCTACAAGTGTTCTGGACCTGTTTCCTCCTCTAGACACGGCCTATGCCAGCAGCAGTGGAGGATTCGCTACGGCGAGTGCGGGCAGCGGAGGATACTACGGCTGATACAGTGTCCAGTGACAGGAGATCAGTGAAGTGCTTCAAGAATCCTAGTCTAGTTTAGTTGTACATATTTGTTAAGTATTGCTCCTACTATTCTTAGTGTTTAACTTGTAATAAATAAAAATATTGACTAAATTCTATGTTTTGGAAAGTCTTAGAAAGTGTTCGTATCAGAATATAGTTACAATAGATAATGGGATCTTTACATTAAATGTTGTTAAAAATAAAGAACTACTTGGATATTTAAAAATAAAACAACAATACAAAATTATGGTTGTATGGTTTCTTAATAAAAAAAAAAAAACATGTTAATTGAGTCTGTTTTAAAAATATTTCTTTTAATATTTCACCAAATTAAATTCTAGAAAAATGCATATTCATTGTTAAAACTTAAATTTAAACAACTCCGTAAAAATGTTTAATCGATTTTTATAATGTTCTTTTTAATCTTAAATAAGTAAATAATAAGTAGTACATATTTTAAACATAAAGATCTTCTCCGTACTTTAATTAAATTTTCCCATGTATTTCAATTTGAACAGGTGATTTTAGAAAATTAGTGTGACTAACTAAACCATCAAATTAAGAGCTCGTTAAAGTCGCGTCAGGCCTAATCAGTTGACCTATTTTTATTTCACAAATTCATTCAATTCGTAGGCTTTACTATGTAATGTACAATATGAACAAGCAAAACAAGAAAGGCAGTTGCATAACTTAACGAACAGCTTATTATTTTCAAATCGAAAAGTTTTTCTGTTTGCCTTTAACAGGGTTGACAAACCATACAGGGTTTTAAATTTGAAAAAAAAATTATATAAGAATAAATGTGGAAACAAATATGAACTAAAAATGTATTTATTTATCTAAACCTAAAAATAAGTTCTAAACCACGAGCTAGCTTAAGGTTTATAGCCTAAGCTGTTACAGCTAAGACGTTCGGCTGAATGTGAAAAACTATTATATACGATTGTTCATATCAAGGCGCCAGTTTTTTAAATTTGATTCATTTTTCACTTTTACCGCGACTAAATCGCGTTATCGATAGCTATTGGAAAACAGTGCTGAAAGGTGCGCTGCGGTCCAGCTGAAAAGCTTTTCAATCAGTCTGGCCACCATGAGTTTATATCGGCTATCGGTACATCCCGCCGTTTGGCGCATAGGAATTTTTATGTACGTTTTTCCATTTAAGAATGAATAATGAATGTGATTTTACGCAAACAAAATAAATGGGCATATCCCTGTCGAATTTAAAGATTAACTCTTTAAATTCGACAGGGATATGCCCATTTATTTTGTTTATATTACTATATATTACTATTTTGTTTGAACCCCAGTCAGTAAACCTATCGTTATCGGCCGTTGGGCCAACAGGCAAAATAATTTCGACCAGTCTCACGAAAAAAAAAAACAGAAATCGCAAATCGCAACAAAAACGCGGACGTCGTGCTACTCTCCCCAAAATCCGTCGCCGCCGTCGCTGAAACTAACATAAAGTAACCGAAAAAAAAATGAAAGACGAATACAGTCACAAAGGGAATCAAATTAAACATCAAAAATGGGCTAAATTGAAAGCGAAATGGGGGAAGGCCGAGAGACGGCACAAAAACATTGCATTGCGTAATTGGGGACAACAGCTACATGGCCAGCAGCAACAACAACAACAACAAAATCGGCAACAAAACAAGCTAAAACCAAGTGAACTGGCTGCATTCTAATGCGCCTGTGTGTGCGCCGTGCGGCTGTGTGTGTGTGTGTGTGTGTGTGTGTGTATCTACAGCTGTGTTACGAATTAAATGAATTTTATTACTTACCCGCAAATTAAAGCCACTTGTGACATACGTTTCTCTGGTAAAAATCAATCACTGAAGTTTAATAATACTTAAGCACTTTACGAACAATGCAAAGAAAACAGGCGAAAGAAGGAGAACAAGCAGTGTGACTACGTTAAAAAGTGCTTGCTCCACATTTTTGCTAGACTCACTCTCGACATTTCTCTCTCTCCCGCTCACGCGCACCGTGGGGTGTTTTGCACCGCTTTTGCATCCCCCTTCGCGCGGGCCATTGTTCACAACGCTTAATTTCATAAATCAAGGCAGCGTCAGTTAAAAAACAACAAGAACTAGTACCTCTTGTCAAGTCCCCTACACATCCCCCTTTCTGCTTTCGGCAATAGGAAATTTCCGTAGCCAGCGTACAGTGGATAAAAGATATACAAAGAACCATTAAAAAGGCATTAAAACTATCACAGAGTTCCCGGTTTAATGTCTTTAAGTGCGATTAAATTATCTGATTAAAAAGTTTTCTTAAATGGATTTTATATTTATTTAAATTAACTTAAATACTTAATAACAAAGAATACCTCTACATATCATTTTTAGGAAGTACAAAGTTTAATCAATTTTAATCAACACCCGCTTACTTTCATTCCACTGTGCGCGTACGTAGACACAAACAGCTGATGCTTGTCAAATTCGTTGCTAATACATACATACAAACGTTCTTGCCGTGCACGTGAGTGTGTTGGTGAGCGAGGAGGGAACTTGGATATCGATAAAAACAAGTAAACTTGCACAACCTATTTGCTCCCAAAGTTCAGAATATAGCAGATCGCAGCAAAGTGTAGAAGTTGGTATAATTACGCGAGGCAGTGTGTATTATCTTATCAGCGTTCAGCAGGGGGGTGTGTGTCGGTCGCTTCACGTTTGGCCGCTTATCAAAATCGGAATCACGCGACTCGGCGCGGGCCCCCAACGAATTGCCAAGGCCGCTGATAAATAAGAACTAATCAAATGTTTCATTTCATTTCGCCCCGCGCTGTCGCTGTGTCTACCTCGCTGGCTTATCGCCCAGATAGCTGAATTCTAGGTGGTACGTGTCGTCAACGTCGAGGAATCCAGAGAGTGAGTGAGAGAGAAAAGACACCTTATATAATCCGGCAGCGAAGGAGACCAGGCCCTCAAATCCCCACAAGATGTTGCGAATGCTGCATAATACTACCCTCAGATGCTCCAATCTGCAGCTGGGCGTGCTGAAGAAGTAAGTAGAAATGCATTTATTCACATAATAAATTTTTAAATACATATTTACTCTTTCCAGCTCAACTCGCAGCCTGGGCTCAGTTTTGCCTGATCTGAACCTCAAGGATTTCCCCATCCTTAATGAACCGATTCTGACCTATCGCAAAAATTCGCAGGAGCGCAAAGACTTGGTGCAGGCTCTCAAGAATACGGCCTCGAAATGTGAAGAGATTCCCATTGTGATCGGCGGCAAGGAATACAAAACATCGGAGGTTAGGTACCAGGTCATGCCACACGATCATCAGCATAAGCTGGCCAGCTTTTACTATGCCGACAAGAAGCTCGTCGAGAAGGCCATTAAGACTGCTGTGGAGACGCAACCAATGTGGGATCAAGTGCCGCTGGCGGAGCGTTTGAAGATCTGGGAGAGGGCGGCCGATCTAATGGCGACCAAATATCGTCAGGAATTAAATGCGGCCACCATGCTGGGTCAGTCCAAGACGGCAATTCAAGCGGAAATCGATTCGGCAGCAGAGTTAATTGATTTTATACGGTAAGTTAATAACAAGGACATGCTGTATTGATTTATTAAATAAATTAATTATTAAACTTGCAGAATGAATGCCTACTTCCTGAAGGAATGCGCCAAATATCAGCCCATTAGCGAGAACATCAAGGTCACAAAGAACTCCATGCGGTATCGTGGCATTGATGGCTTTATCGCCGCTGTCAGTCCCTTCAACTTTACGGCCATCGGCGGCAACTTGTCCTACACGCCAGCTCTGATGGTAGGAAGGCTAGCTAGTCCTTAAATTTCCAATCAACTTACTAAGCTCAATCTCGCCCCCTTTTCTTTTCCTTTTCTAGGGTAACGGTGTGCTGTGGAAACCATCGGACACGGCCATGCTCTCCAACTGGGTTATTTTTAAAATTATGCGCGAGGCGGGAGTGCCCGATGGCGTCGTTAACTTTGTGCCTGCCGATGGGCCTGTGTTCGGAGACACCATTACCGCCAGCCCCCACCTGGCAGGCATCAATTTCACCGGCTCGGTGCCGTAAGTAATTGTCGCTCTATTGATTTTCCGATCCTACCCCGTTCCTTTCTCCTTTGTCTGACAGAACCTTCAATCGGCTGTGGAAACAGGTGGGCAACAACATCGACAACTACGTCAACTTTCCGCGCTTGACCGGCGAGTGTGGCGGCAAGAACTTCCACTTTGTGCACAAGTCTGCCGACGTTGAGTCGGTGGTCACGTCAACGATACGCTCGGCCTTTGAGTATTGCGGACAGAAGTGTTCCGCCTGCTCGCGCATGTATGTGCCCGAGTCGCTGTGGCCAAAGGTGAATATGTCTCTGATTGCGATGTTTACGCAGTGCTAACCTGTGCTAACCCCTCACCCCACAGATCAAGGACGGGCTGCTGTGCGAGGCACAGAAGCTGAAAATCGGCGACGTTCAAGACTTCAGCAGCTTCACATCGGCTGTGATCGATGACAAAGCATTTAAACGCATTACCAGCTATATTGAGCATGCCAAAAAGTCACCGAATTTGGAGATAATTGCTGGCGGCACCTATTCGGACAGCAAGGGCTACTTTGTCGATCCCACGATTGTGGTTAGCAAGGATCCCAAGGATCGTATAATGACCGAGGAGATCTTTGGCCCCGTCCTAACGATCTATGTGTACAAGGAAGATGATCTGTTTAACACCATGAAGCTGGTGCACACCTCAACAAAGTTTGCTTTAACCGGAGCAGTATTCGGACAGGATGAGTAGGGATTTTTAATGGATTTCTCTATAGAATATAATAATAATTTAATTTAATTTCAGGGAGTGGGTCAAGTGCGCCCTACAGGAGTTCAAAATGGCCGCTGGCAACTTCTATATCAACGACAAGTCCACTGGATCTGTGGTGGGCCAGCAGCCATTCGGCGGCGGCCGAATGTCCGGCACCAATGACAAGGCCGGCGGACCGCACTACATACTCCGCTGGACATCGCCGCAGTCCATCAAGGAGACATTTGTGCCGCTGCGCGACGTCAACTATCCATACATGAGCGAATAAGCTGGCGGACGAGAAACAGGAGGAGTGGCAGGAGGATAGGGAGAAGAAGAAGCTAAGAACCGACAGGAATCTCATATAACTACTAACTACATATATAACTATATATATAAATGTATTTTGTTGAACTATTTTTAAACGAAAGCACCCCCAAAAAGCCTTCCTAACACCTCCAACTAGTTCACACTCACACACAAAGAATCTCGGATGTTACCAACCCACGAGAAAGCCTCGAAATCGTTGTAAATTGATATGCTGATATTACCTTTCGAACCCACACACCGCAACTCAAAATTCATATAGAAAACGAATATTATGTAAACTATTATTAAATTTACATACATTTATACACAAATGTGATTATTATTAATAATATGATTTATAATTACATGACCCGTCTTTTGTTTTATACTCACTAACTCGATGTTATTATTTGTATTTTATTGTTGGACGCCCTCGAGTGTCAAATATATAAAACTATATGTATTTATAATGGGCGTCTTTATATGCACACACATAATACTTTATGTATGTACGTATGTATGTGGAAGCAAACACTTGACAATACATTTCGATTACTAAATGTGAAAGATCATGAAGATATATATAAATGGAAACCTAGTTACATACACATATACCATAAGCATCAAATTCAGATAAATAAATATTTAAATTTCAAAACAATAGACCTACAAAATTATGAACTTTTCTATATAGTTCTCATCCATTTCCCTTTATAAGAAACCCCATTTAATTATGTAAAATACATATATTTCTTTAAATTTCTCTTAAGTTAAATTACATGTTTGTTTTTTTTTTTTTGACAAATGATAATATTAACTTGTACTTATTGAAGTTCTTGTAAGTCGGAATCCAAAAAAAGGCTATCAACAATAATATAATGGAAATTATTTTAATTATGTCCAATATATGATTGAAAATAATTCAAACTTTGCTTCTAACTAATCGCTATTGAATCTTATTTGATTTTCAGTAAATCTTTTTTACGTAAAGTTGTTAAAATGAAATACAATTATAGGGAAGAGGGAATATCTAAAAAAGATGTATTGAAAAATCAAGGAAATCTTGTTCAAAATCAAAACGTATACAACAAAGTATGAAACCACGATTTAAATATTATTGAAGCCCATTTAAAACGAAAGGAAAAGATGTCTGAGACTAATTAGCTTGGTCGCGGTTTTTATTGACCGCCAGTTCACGGTTCTAAAACTATAGGACCTTGTTAAGATGGAAACAATTTTTCAATTGGGCAAAAGTATTGCATATAAGAAACTATTCTTACACAGTTGCTACTCCACGTCTGGCTTACTTACTAAACGTATCTGTTACATAGTTTATTATTCCATAGTTTGCATTATGTTTATAAATCTAGTCAAACTTGATTGAATTGACGCCGACGTCAATCTGGCCGCCTCGGTAGCTGCCGCGCTTCTTCTTGGTCTTTTCGTGTTTAAAGGATTTGCCGCGCGTGTGCTTTAGGTCCTTGTTGGCTCGTTCGCCCCAGGAGCCGGCGGCGTTTTTCTATCGTGGTTTACAAATAATATAAACAAGTTAATTCCATAACATAACTGCATCTAGGGGTGGCGTGTGCTTATGCGTGTGTGTTTGTGTGGCGCTAACTAAACTAAACTCTAATTGTCGAAGGTGATTTTCTTATTCGGCTTTGGCGATGACGAATCGAATGATTTATTGCCAAAACCACCGCCACGTCCACCTCCACGGCCACCGCCGCCCCGTCCTCCGAAACCGCCACCGCCTCCTCGGCCGCCACCGAAGCCGCCGCCGCCTCCACGGCCGCCACCTCCGCGTCCACCGAAACCACCGCCGCCTCCACGTCCACCGAAGCCGCCGCCGCCTCCACGACCACCACCTCCGCGTCCACCACGTCCTTTGTTGTCAAAGCCACCGAAGGACCGGCGATCGCCCATCTTCTTGAAGCCACCATCACCGCCATCCTCGCCGCCGTTCTGTTTGTTGGTCTCCCAGGTGCTGCGATCTGGACGACCTCCGAAACCGGAGCCTCCACGACCTCCACGTCCGTTGTTGTGCTTCTTGAAGCCGCCATCCTGAAAGGGGAGGAGAAATGCCAAAGGGGGCAAACCACAAATTAGCAAAGACATTTTTTAAATGCAAGTTCAAAATGGGTCAGGAAAGTGCCACAAATGATTTGAGTTTTGTTTAAGCGGCGTGCGCATCTCTTGCTAATTTGTGTGTCTGCCCCTCTTTTTAGCACCTCGAATCCCCGACGCCTGCTCCTTAATCCCCACTACACACACACACCCAAAGCCACGCGCGACTCAAATGCATTTACGGCACTCACCTTGGCCTCAAAGGACATGTCCTGGACACGTGAATCTACCAAGACCTCCTCGGTGCGAACCCGTCGGAAGGGAGACCGTCTCCGGCCACTTCCTCCCCCACTGTTCAACTGTTTGTTGTTCCTGCTGTTATTGTGGCTATTGTTGGGCGTCGATGTGAAGCCATTATTCTGCGAATAGCAAGTGATTATTATCAACTGTTTTGGAAACGTTTAGCGTAACAACAGTTACAGCTTTAAATTGGGATCAGACCAAGAAAACATGTAACAGGATGACTTACTAATGCTCATAACTAAAATTTTTGATAATAAAATAAATAAGGTAGTTAATGTGTAAGTAAATAGTAGTTATTTGGATTCCCCTCAAAATCTATGTTTCTATCACTAATTTTCTATAATTCTTTTAAGAATATCCTATATTCTTTCATATTTCATTATATCTTATACTGATTTCTTTCTTTTTCTATTAGAAAACCATCATTTAAAATTTCAACAAGCTTAAATAAACCCCAAATATATGTTAACTTTATATGCTAAGATCCGTCAAACTCACCTGTTGCTCTCCTGACTTCACAAAGTTGTTATACTTCTTATTGGGAGTGGCCTCATCCGCATCGCCGCCACTGAACTTGCGCTTTTGTCCGCCATTGGCCGCTGGCTGGGGTTTGGCCTCGCCGGGCTCTTCAGAGTCGCTGTCCTCACTGCTGCTCTCTGCCTTCTTTTTAGCTGGCACTGGCTTCTTGGCCGCTGGCGCCTCATCCTCCGAGGAGTCATCTTCCGAGGAGCTATCATCCTTTTTGGTGGGTGCCGCGGTCTTCTTAACAGCTGGCTTTACAGCAGCTGGCGCGTCATCATCACTAGAGTCCTCGCTGCTCGAGGCGGCAGCCTTAGCCGGAGCCTTGGCCTTAGGTTTCTCATCTTCGGAACTGTCACTATCGTCGGAAGAGTCCTCGGACTCGGCCTTCTTAGCAGGTGCAGCCTTGGCAGCCGGCTTCTTGGGAGCTTCCTCCTTATCCGAGTCGCTCTCTTCGCTGGATGTATCGGCCTTCTTGGCTGGAGCAGCCTTTGCTGCACTGGCCTTGGCTGGTGCAGCCGCCTTCTTGGGTGCCTCGTCTTCGGAAGAGCTGTCCTCACTGGAAGAAGCTGCCTTCTTGGCCGGAGCCGGCTTGGCTGGGGTCTTTGCTGCAGGCTTCTCATCCTCAGAGTCGCTGTCTTCGCTGCTGGAAGGGGCCGCCGGTTTAGCGGCAGGCTTAGCAGGCGCCGCCTGTTTGGCGGCTGGCTCCTCATCGGAATCACTCTCTTCGCTAGAGGATTCTGCTTTTTTGGCCGGCGCTGCCTTGGCCGGAGCCTTCTTGGCGGCTGGTTTTGTGTCTTCCTCTGAGCTGCTGTCTTCGCTGCTAGACTCTGCCTTCTTGGCTGGAGCAGCCTTTGCCGGGGTCGCCTTTGCCGCGGGTTTCTTTTCTTCCTCGGAACTGTCGCTATCTTCGCTGGAAGATGCGGCGGCCTTCTTGGTAGGTGTAGCCTTGGCTGGTGCTGCCTTCTTTGGTGCCTCATCCTCCGAGGAGCTGTCCTCGCTCGAGGAGTCGGCCTTCTTGGCGGGCGCTGCTTTAGCTGGGGAGGCCTTGGCCACTGGCTTCTTCTGTTCCTCTTCGGAGTCGCTGTCCTCGCTGCTAGAGGAAGCCGCCTTGGCGGCCTTACCATTTGTCACCGGCTTCTTGGCAGGTGCTGGCGCTGCATCGGAGTCTGAATCGCTGTCATCGCTGCTGCCAGCCGCCGCCTTAATAGCCGGGAATTTCACGGGACTGTTTTTCTGGAAGAACTTGATAAGTTCGGTTACCACCGGTGCGTTCTTGCCTAGAGTCGGCTGCGAATGAGAAAAAGCAAGAGTTGTGGTTAGTGAACAACACGTGGTCGTCGTCATCGTTGGGGCATCATGTGCGACAAGTGGAAGGCTACTGTTGCCTCTTTCTAGAGTGAAATCCAGCTAACTGTAAATCTCTGCCCTGCCGATGTATCGCACGCCGTGGGGTGCATCCAAACTCGTTGCACTTGCTGCCGCTCTGCAGTCCAACTTACCGCTTTCGTCTTCTGCTGATAGACCTTCGCCAGGTTCTTGTCCACGGACAGCAAATGCTGCAGGACGACTCCATGGCACAATTTCAATTCTTCTGTCATGTTATTTTCTCTGATTCTCTATATTTTCGGACCACAATCAAGATCTAGCCGCACGCTCGTTTGACACAAAAAAGAATGCGCACACACACGTGTTTTGTCTTCTCTAAGATCTGGCAGCCTTGTCACGGCGGGAGAGTCTGGCATGCCTGGCACACAGATCGGCATTGTGCAACACTAATCATACAGTAAAAACTGCATTGGAAGAATTTAATTCGATTTAAATTCTTATTATAAGACAATTTGATCAATTAAACTACATTAGTTATACTTCTAGCAGCTTACTTCATTTATATTACCGAACCATTGAACAATATATTCAAAAAAAAAATTTCCTCCATTTAGAAACCAAAAAAATGAGCTGTGTGGTATAGTCAAACCCACGTCCATATCAGCTGTTGTCCTTATTGTTGTTGAAGAAAAAACCTTAAAAGATGTGTAATAACACAAATCTTATGGAATTTTGTATGATTAGGGATTGTTATTTGTTAATAATTTCCAACTAATTACTAATAATAAGCCTATTTGTTTTATTTACGTTCTCGGAAAGTGTGTGACCCAATACAATTATTAATAAGTGTAGTTTTGGTGTTAATGGGCAGACCACGTGCGGTCACACTGCCGCAGAACAATGTATTTTTGTTTGTTATTCAATTGAACAACGCAACGCAAAATAAGAGATACCTCCAGGTCGGCTGTAATTCACATTATTCATTTAACATACACCCCCTCGGAGTCCGCATAAGATCAGCAATTACACACTGACATGGCTGCGCAGCCGTTTCCAGGGATTCTTGGCCTCAATGATGACTGTCTGGAGGAGATATTCGATCGACTCCAGGACCTGCCGTCCGAGGTGGCCTTCTCGCGAACCTGCCAACGCTTCCAACACATTTGCCAGTCCAAGTGGCGCACCAGCCGTGCCTACGAGCAGCTAGACCTGGACAAGTGGCGGGAACTGCTGCCTAACTACGAGGATCTCATCTACTTCCTATCGCAGATGCGGCCGCACATCAAGGAGATGTGCGTTAGCAGCTGTCTGTGCGCCCTGCTAAAGGATCTGGACGAGATGCACATTTCGGAGCTGCCCGCAGTGGCCAGTTTTTACTACGATCCCGAGGACGTGGACTGCTATCCGTCGAATCGAAGCATTCGCAAGTTAGCCGGGCTGCTGCCGGGACTTCGGAAGCTGCGTCTCACAACACCCATTGATGGTCGTTACTTGTCCCAGTTCCAGCACCTGCAGGAGCTTCACCTGTACGAGGACTGGCACAAGGCCTATGAGCTGCAGCAGGAGTATCTGGAGGAGGTGTGTCAGTAAGTAGTCTCCGGTCCTCTCAAATGTGTGTCACTCACTCGCTCGTTTGTTTCACAGCAAGCTGCATGACCTGCGGGTGCTTGACATACGCACCTACGACGTGATTAGCAAACTGCAGCTGGTGAACTGTGTGCCCAGCCTTAGGAACCTAACCGTGCTCAAGCTAAACCTCGCCACGTTAAAGCCCGTTCTGCCGGCTGTCCTGGACCTACCCTCCCTCAAACAGCTGGTTGTGCTGCTGGACAACGAGTGGCACATACCGCCATTGGTCAGTCCGGATAGCTATGACCACAAGATCCGTGAAGTCAGCGAGTTTTATGAGATAATGGAGCGTAAGGCCGAGAACATTGTGGGATTCGCAGTGGACGGCTACTATATGCCTCTAGAGCCCGGCTGGGACGAGAAATTGCCAATTTGGACGCATCGACGGCTTCAGCGGCTTGCCATCTGCAGTTGGACCCATCCAGCCGACTATCTTGAACGCTACACCTGTATGACAGACCTGCGCCTACTCTGCCTACGTAACTGGAACGACCTGAGCGACGACATACTTCTTAAGTTTGTGGAACTGTGTCCGCGCCTGGAGCACCTGGACGTGTCCTACTGCCGTGAACTCACCCCCAAATTCCTGACCCGCGCACTGAGTGTCCTTAAACAGCGAGAGCCCCACAAGCACAAGCCTGGCTTTGGGCGATCACCACCCCTCCTGCTATACTACGAACTCAGTGGCTTCGAGGATTTTGTGGATAAAGCGGTAACTATCAAATGGATCATTGGAGATCGTATTTCTAACTAATTATCTTTTTTGTTCTTTGGCAGAATCTCAAATGCTCGCCGGACTATCGGGATTATATAGTGTTTACTGCCGACTTTCCCATAGACTCTGAGCGGGGTCTTAGTTTTGTGGATCGCGGCTATCAGTTTGAATTTGACTGTCCCTGAATATGTGAAAAGGAAATATATTTATTATTAAAAATAATGTTGAACTAAAACCAAAAACGAAAAGGTATTTCCCTATTACTTTTATTTTATTTAATATATTTAACTGACGGTTAAGCAACAGTTATAGCTATGATTAGATGATGAGAGTACCCCAAACAAAATAGTTCATTGTGAATGGCAAAAAATCAGCTGTTTCTGTTTGTTAATAGCATATTGTGAAAACGAAATTAAGGAGTTTAGCAAAGAGTTGGGTTTAAGAAGATATGGAAATGGAGAATCAACGAAAAAGACAGCTCAATTATACTCCCAAGGAGGAGAATGCTCTCATTGCGTTAGTGGTGGATAGGAAGGACATCATTGAGAGTACCAGAAATGATGCAGTAGCCTGGAAACAAAAGGATGAAGCTTGGAAAGACATAGCTGAATTCTTTTCTAAGATCACTGGTGTTCATCGTCCTGCCAAGATGTTGAGAAACAAATATGATAATATAAAGAAAAAAGTAAAACAAGGAAATTATGACAATGAACATATATCGAAAATAGTTTTAACAAAAGCTGAAAAAATAAAACAATTAATGGCAGATGAAGGTCCTTCTTGTAGTATAAAAGCCGAAAGTGAAGGTCAGTAAATTTGTATTTAAATAAATATTATTTCAAAAAGTCTATTTTTTAGAACCCTTGTATAATATTATCGAGTTAAATGAGGAAAGCTGCCATGACGATACATCAACTCTAGAAACGTCGCCGATTGAGAGATCATCTAAAAAACGAGGAACAAAAATCGATGTTGGAAGTTTACTTCAGGAAGAAAAGTTGCAATTAATTAAAGCACAACGCACTTTCTACGAACAGGAAAATCTAAGAGCACAGGAAAAGCATATGGAGGAAATGGAAACATTGAGCGCTAAGCGGGAGCTACTCTATTTGGAAATTGCTGAAAAGAAACGGAAAATGAATGTAAGCATTACGAAGAATATATTTTAAATATACGTTTTAATTACATTTTTCTTTCTTTTTTTAGCAGGAATCCTCCAAAAAATGACAACCCGAATTGTAGACTATTTTATCAATTATTTTATATAAGGATTTTAAATTAGAATAGGCGATAATATATTAAGATTTTTGACAAATTAAATATTTATAAAGCTAACTTACTCTTTTCAGTGACCTTCAAATTATGAAACATCAACAGTCCCTAACTTTAAAAGCTATTAAAAACCTGTAATTTCTCAAGTTTCTGTATAGTTATCTATGGAAATATTCTTTTATAAACTGGTTTCTATGATGCTCATCAGAGCTGTTGACTGTCCCATTATTTGTGTACGATTCCACACAGTCAAGTGATTCTAAAGGTAAATCCTCATCAATTGGTGGCTCAGGATCCTGAACACTAATGGCAATGTTATGAAGAATGGCACAGGCCACAATAACCACCTTGGCAGTATCAATATTAATTCGCATCCCAAAGGACAGTACCGGAAACCTATGTTTCCAAACATCGAAACTTTTTGTAACGACTTCACGGGTTTTGAATTGCGACTCGTTATAGAGTTTTTCAGCCTTTGTTATAGGTTTTCGAAGTGGTGTCATCATGTATTTTCTTAGAGTGTAGGAGGAATCGCCCAAAAGATACGTACTTCCGAACTCCTCAGCTTCAAACCGCTTCTTCAGTCGACTGTTGTCGAATATAATGCTCTCCTGGGTTGAGCCCGGCCACCTGGCTACCAAATCCTGGATGTTTAACTTGGCATCAGACACGGCCTGTACTTTGATGGAAAAGAATCCTTTCCGGTTGCGATACATCTCGCTTTGGTCCGCAGCCGGAGACTGCACCTGGATGTGAGTGCAGCCCACAGCGCCCATTACTCTCGGAAAGTTGGCGATGCTATGGAAATCCTCCTGAACCTCGTCGGGCTCTCCGAACTTAATGTATTCCCGGGACAGGGCGGCAATGCTGTAGGAAACCTCCTTGACCGTGCGACTGGCGGAGGCTGCGCTCACCCGGCAAAAGTCTCCGACGGCTATCAAAAAGTTCCCACAAGCATAGTAGCGCAAGGCCAGCATTAGCTTATCCTCCGGTGTCAAGTAAAAGTTTCTAAAATATTAACTAATTAATATTATTAACTACAAAGAGAAGTGGACAAACCTAGTAGTTTGGCTTTCGATCTTGTTTCCGATTCTTTCCAAAAGATAGGCGAACGTTGATTTGGATATCCGAAATTTAGTTAAAAACTCCTCGTCTTCCATATCCCTGAGGAAATTTGGTCTCGCCCTGAAGACCCGAGGTTTGCGAGGTACAAAATCCAAGTCCTCATCAGACTCTTCAAGGGAATGTAAATAAATAGCGCGATTTAAGTTCATGTTTTTACCCAAGAACAGCTGTTATTTGTGGTATTTAGGCATGGCATCATCTTATCTGTGGTATTTACCGCATTTACGGTCACACTACCCCACAATGCTCCATTCTCTTTCTTCTTCACACATGTTTATATTTACAAGAGAATTGTGCAATATTTCGAGGATTATATTGAAACATACTTGAAAATTAGAATGAGTGAAGGCAAGGATCAGAAGCCGGGCGATGGCATCCGCTCCATGCGCAGCACAGGAGTTTTCCGTTTGATCAATTTTGAGTTGTATGCAAAGCCGGTAAGATTCAACCAGAGAATTGGGATACATTTGTTATAACCCGGCCTTTTTTTTTTGCAGAACGCCATCATTATGGGACTGGGGCTGACCGCTATTGCCGGAGTCTTTGGCTACATTGCCTACATGCGCTACAAGTACGAGAGCCTGGGCTACTACGTGGCCGTTAAGGACGACGGGCGCGAGGAGTTCATCAAGAAGAAGTCCAACTGGGAGAGCTAGCTAGCTGGGAGGGCACAAGACTCGAAGATCATTTGTGGAAACACCTTTTATTTACTTGGTAGCACAATTTGGTACATAAATTTGTTGTTTGCTTGGGAAGTTGTTGTTTGCTTTTGCCAAAAAATGTAAAGAAATCACAAATAGTAGAAAAATGTTTTTAACTAGAACCATGTTTGTTTTGCGGCAAAGTGCGCACCGCAAAAAAATGAGCGTAAGACAGCAGAAAAGGGGACGGGGACAGAGGTGGTGAAAGTGGAGTTGAGTGGAGTGGAGCAGAGAAGAGGTGGTGTGTATCACAATTACAAGAGCAATTACTCCTCGCATCCGCACATTGGTCTCTCTCTCGCTCTCTTCTCGCCGTCGCCGCCGTCGTCGTCGTCTTCGTTATCGCTATGCTTTTGGTTATCATTGTCGCCCGTCCCCCCTAGGCAGACAACTTGAGAGCCTTGAGCTCGTCCAGGTACCGTGCTTCCATCTTAATCTTGTTTAGTTGGTTCAGCTCCAGGTTCTCGCCCTGGCTGCGGCGCAGCTTCAGCTTCTTGATGTCAGAAAGTTTCTTGGAAACGCTGCGGATTTTCCGTTCCTTCTCGCTGATATTCTGGCCATTAGCCTGTCCCTGCCCCTGTCCCGGGGAATAGGGATGCTGTTGCGCCTGGCTACGTGACTGATCAGCGGCGTTCTCCTGTTGGTATCTTGGTCGCGGGGTGTTCTGCTGCGAGTGATGCCTGCGCTGCTCCTCCCCAGCCGCTGGCACTGGTACTGGTTGCGCTTGCTGAGCGCCTGGGGCACCACCTGGCGGCACACCTGCAGCAGGAGCTACATCTGTAGAAGCAGAGTCCGCATCACCGCCGTTCACTACGTTGACATCCTTTTTGGGGCCCCTGGGCTTGTTCTTGTTCCTCTTATTGTTGGCACCACCTGCAGGCGAAGGAGAAATGCAAACAGCAATTAGCAAACACATGGCCGAGCCTACTTACGACCGCGTCAATCCCTAATCCTAATTGGCATGGCTAATACAGAATGTGTGAGCAAGGAGTGAAGAGAAATGGCTGATTAGCTGTGAATCTAGTAGCGCTTATGCTGATAAGGCCGATAGCGCCGAAAGGGACGGCTGTTCGAGGTCCCCGTCGCCGGTTGACCCTCGCGTCCGCCAGGCGCCACCTGGACTTGGACCTGGGCCTGTTCGCCCCGTCGCATGATGGGATTGTCCAGGTCGTACTGCCTGTGCCAAAACTGCCGAGGTGTATTACCTGCTGCTGCCGGAGCCAGTCCGGGAATGCTCGGCTGGGGCAGATACTGTTCCGGATTCTTTCCCTCCTTCAACAATCGCAGATGGGGCGGTGTGTAGGCCTTCTTGCTGGCCTCTGGCTGGCTTGACTTGATGCCTTCGTGCTTGGCCTTGGTGATCTTTGGCTCGCTAAAGGTCTTGTCCGGGAATTGCTGCCACTCGATGCCCAGCAGCTCCTGACCCTGCGGCCACATGGTCTCATGGAGGAGTGCTCCAGAGTAGTGGTAAACCTTGAAGCTAAATACAAGAAAATACGTTGTTATACCTTCAATAATGTTTTGTGAGAGAATTACTCACCCATTGCTTATCCGCAGCCTGGGAGCCGTGGTGGCGGTGATAAACCACTCGCCATTGGGATGCCACTCAAAGACTGTGGTGTCGGCGCACTTTAGATTTGCCAACTTTTCGCGTTTGGCCACATCCCAAACTTCGACGGCTCCTGGAAGATTGCCGAAGCCTGCAAGGACTATGAGACTGCCGAAGGGATTGAAGTAGGCGCAGTTCCGAGGCCCCTCGCCAAAGTCGAAGACCACATCGCACTTAAGGTTGTAGAGGGCCGCCTTGGAGGGCATAAATCCATAGACGACCACAAACTCATTGGCCTTGGGACTCCACTTGACACAGTGCACCGGGCCCTCCTTGGAGAGGGGCACTGAGCAGGTATCGCCTTTGGTGGCCATGAAGTGGACCGCCTGGTTGCCATAATAGGAGGCTCCGCTCTTATCCACCTCAGTGCTGGTCAGAAGCAGCAGTCCGCTGCCACGCTTATTCCACAGCATCTCAACTCGGTCGGCCTGGAAGAAGCTCTTGCACGCAACCGTCTGGTTTTGGCCCAGAGCCGGGTACTTGTACAGTTTGCACATGGACGGAGCACCCTTGGCGCCTGGGGTGTAGAAGGCCAGGAAGGGCGGACTGTTGCCGGGTCCCAGCGAAAGCATACCGCCGCGACTGCCGCCAATCTTGCGCGAGGTGCTCGTGAATCCTTTCTCTGCTCCCTCTCCTAGATCGTAGAACAGAGCCTCTCCGCCGACGACCAGGGCAAAGATGGACTCATCCGACGACCATGACGGTTGCCAGTCAGTCTGGTTCTTCTGTACTATGGCAAAGACTTCTTCGCCGGTGGCAACCTCGTAGACTAACAGATTGGGTGACCCCTCCGGCCGGTCCTTGGTGATGGCATAGTTCTCCCAGGTGCACAGATATCGGCCACGTGGCGAGAAGTTAAGGTAGAAGGCCTTCGGCCGGGGCAGCGTGGCAATCACTGGCCAGCTGGCAGCGCTATCCCTGCTCGCCTCGAGCACCTTGACCGCCTGACCGTTGGAGTACGCAAAGTACCGGCCGTCGGGGCTGAAGCAGATCGAGCGGGAGCTCTTCGTCTCCTCGCGCGGCAAGTGGTCCTTGTGCTCATACGGCTGCTTGGAGCCCGCCGACGACCACAACTCCACGGCCACGCTAGAGCGAACTGTGAACAGACGGAGAGGAGAGGGAAGAGGTTAGCACGAGAGACGGATGGAGAACGAACACGAGGTCGTTCGACTTTTCGCCTTTCCCGACGTCCCCCGCGGCGGAGGCGGATGCCATCGATGGCCCGGAGTCAGGGCTCCCTTTTGGCGGCAAGTTGGAGGTGAATCCGAAGGATAATACTCACTGGCAAGGGTAGGAACAACCAGATCCGCAGCTGCAGCCATTGTCTTCCAATCTCACACGCACGCACACACACCCAGGGGAACGCACACACGCTGGCCGCTGTTGTTGTTGTTGTTATCTGTCAATTGTTGTTGCCGTCGGTCCAATTTAGAGCTGCAAGCACACCGATTTTAGTATCGATACTATCGATAACTCAAAGGTAAACAAAAGGTGAAATTGGTTTTATAAATAACGTCAGTTAAATTGCATTATGTTCCCTATGTTCCAACAAAATAACAATTTTTAAAACTTTGCGAGATTTAACCTTTTTCTATTTCGCAATGAACCTTTCCCAACAATACTCCAATTGGCACGAGCAATATTAATACTTAAGCAAATTAGAAGCACTCTAGCGTTACCAGAGTGCAGTAGGAAAATCGTTTCTGTGTGTCTGGCTGTAAAAAGCAGTGTTGGGATGGTGCAAATACATCAATGTTTTAAAAACTATGTAAATATGGATGATTTCACTTGATACACTTACTATCAAGGTTTTTCAGCTCTTTTTCAATCACGTTGTCGGTGTTCCTATAATATGGCTAATATATTTGTTGTCTGCCTTGTTCTGCTGCAGATGTCTAGTGTTGGTTAACAGATGTGTATCCTTCTGTGGCTACACTGGTCTGTCGAGCACTCGGTGTGTCAACGAGCGATGGTCAACATGCATTTGCGCGACAACGACACGTTTAACAATCAACCAAACCAAACCAAACGTATTTAGAACTGCAACAAAATTTCTGCTCTACGTGAATTTAAAAACATTTTAGTACTGACAATTTTAGAGCTAAAACTTCAGAACGTCAGAAACGCACACAAAGACAAGTTGATAATGAACATTTTTATTTAGATTTTGGTTTGACTTACTTTCACAATTTGTTATTTGTTAACTTATTTATTTCGCTTTATTATTTATAATTTTTATTTAAATAAATTGTTGCCATGTAATCCCTCATTAGGGCTTTCCTGGAATCAACAGTTAATAAGAGTCTGCATCTTTGTTTTTGAATTGAGCTTTTGTTACAGGTGGTGTGTGAAAGAGTTAATTTAATATTATCCAATTTGATCACATATAAATAAAATAAAAATGTAATGTCTAGACGCATCAGTAATTATTACAGCCCATTAGAAAAGTGGTCTTTTGTCGATGACAAGCCTGAGGCCAGTAACTTCTGCGGGCTTTTCATTTCTGAACTGTATTTTTTTTTTGCCACTATTACGCCAGTTAATTGTTAGGCTCTGATAAAGGCGTTGGGACAATTGGAACTCGTTCAGTCACTTTCGCTGAAAAGCTGCGTTGCGCTGACACTGCGCATGCGTGTCGTGTCACTTGGAGGCGACCGCTTCTCGTGTTTCATTCCGGACGGCCATTGTCGAGCTGGTCCGCCGCTACGTTTGTTTCAATTGTTACCGTCAATTTTATTTTATTTTATTTATTTACACCCGAAGGCAAACACTTTTTCTGCACGTCGCGCGTCAACTCGACAATTGACTTGAAATGTCGCGCATTTGCCGTGGCCAAGGGGAAAAGTTACAACCACTATGAAAGTTTTTATTTGTAGCCTTTCGGCGTTTTCTTCATTTTTCGATAATAACCAAAGCGAATTGTAACTAATATAGCTCGGCAACTTTCCCAAAAGAAAATGAAAAGCGTCTTTTAATTGTCAGACAGAGCAGATCGGGTGAGGAGCAAGGCATGGCATCTACAGAATATTCAATTATGTAACGTTATAATCGATAACCAATTAACAAGGGTCCCATGCAAGTAGATAAGTCAGTTTGCAATGCTTTCAGATTCGTTTGAAGGTGAAACCAAAGGCGGCAAGGGATTCAGATTTTCCCATCAAAAGTTTGAGAGTTGAACTTTTTTACTTGGTAATTTGGCTTAATTTGAGCTATTTACATTAAGATACATATATCGATTTTTACATAAAATGTACTTGATAAAAAATTGTCAAATATAAAAATAAAGATAGATATTAATTCAAAGAATGGGAATAATTTAAGCTTTGAATTTCCTATTAGATCCTTTAATACAATTGCAATCGCTTCCCGAAGTTAGGTTTCTTTCTTGTTTAAAGGTGTTTTCAATCAGATGTGCCTTTTTGATATGACACTTTACAAACATTTTTTTTTTTAAATATATATTCATTATTCGTTAAATTTAACACTTGCCAAGGACGTTCGGCGCAGGTTTTAGCATTGTAGGCTATGAATTTGAAGAGTTTTCCCGATTTCTTCCTCAAGCTCGGTCCTGGACCAACCCTAGCCCTCTTCTTTGGCATTTTGCTGGCGCTAATAGCATTACTCTGCTGCATTGGTTATTGCTGCTGTTTCTGCTGTATCAGCAGGGACTGCTACTAAAGGGTTGTACCCTGTAATCGGCGTGCGCAAATATGTTGAAGGCACACAGATTGCTTTTGATTATCCTGCTGCCAGCCCTTATAGTATGTTTTTGCGTCTGCTGTATTGTATGTATTTGCTGTGGATGCTTTGTGATGCTCTTGCGTGCCGTTCGTTTGATGCCGCCCCCGGCAGAGTCACAGGACGATCAACAACAGCCACAACAACAGGCACAACAACAGCCACGACAACCACCAAAACCCAGCTTAATTATGTCAACAACATCGTTGGCACCACCCCACACCTTGACCTCAGTGCTTGATATGGAGGAAGGAACTAGGATTAAACTCTCATAGAATATTTGTTGTATGCCTTTACTAAAATCCTAGTGATTTTTCATATGAAAGATAAGGAAGTGTTCTTACCATAGAATACCCTGAGCTTTAATATAGAAAAATACATTTACATTTAAAATTTAGGTTTCTCAATAATTAATCTAACGGTCATTCTATAATTTGAATCTCTAAACTTTTCAGCATTTGTCAAACCGAGATTCAAATTGGAATTCATTTCCTGTTAACGATAATCCTTGCGGTACTGATCGGCTTTATGTGGTTCATGGGCTTCGTCTATTCCTGTCCTGTTGCCTGCCTGCACATGTATCCAGATTGGCGGCACCCACAACACCAGCGGGAGGAGGTCCCATTCCCGAACTGCAGCGGCAACACTTGGCCACACGACGGCAACAGGTTACGAGGCGCGACGATGTGCCCGAAGATCGCAGCAGTGGCAATAGCAGAAGCAGAAGCAGAAGCAGAGGCAGAAGCGGCGACGCATGCGCAGACGAGGCAGCACCAAGTGCTTAAGGAATGGTAAACCTTACCTGCTCCGTCAGTTCAGGTTGAGCGCTCGAGTTGGTCGGTTCGCGTTACCATTGCCATTGCCAGAGATCACGGATCACAGAGATCAGAGGGATACGATACACTCCCCGTGCACCTAACTTAAAATCCATCATCGGTCGTGAAGTGTGAAGTGTAAAGCCAATTCGTGAATTGGTCAAGTCCGGACCCCAGAAACGATATATATGAACGAGAGTGCTTCGAGTGCTTAAGTACCAAGTACCCCACAGTACACAGTACACAGTACGGCCCAAGTACAGCCAATAAACCCAACAAGAAACCATCGACCATCAAACACACACTGCTACAAAATGGAATACCGGTGCTTAAGTAGAAGTTCTGTCAAAGTAAGTGACCCCAATAAGCACAAAAAATAAAGACACCAAAGCCGTTGCCGTAGCGCCCACAAGGAGATGGAGATGGAGATGGAGTTGGAGAGGCAGCTGCAAGATCTCTTACACTTCTCTCTCCTCGCACCACGAAACTCGCACCTCTTACACGTCGTCTTATACACTCTTTTTTGTTGCTGCTGTTGTATTTTGCTGAACTTGGCATTGTTCTTGTCTCGTCTCTTCCTTTCGGAAACCAGTATGGCATAAAGAACACATATTATATGTGGCTATATGTGAGGCGATATATATGCACACACATTACAGCAGCCCACAGCAGGCAACACCTTCGGTGGTGGTCTACTAAGTGCCTTGGCCTGGCGTGGAATGGCATGGGTTGGGTTCTGGGTTCGGTTCGGCTCGGATCGGAACGGAACGGATCGGTGCTGGGCTCCATCTCCGTCGCCCACCTCGACCCATTTCTCCGGCTTGATCGGCCGATGGCATGAATTAGCACCTTTCTTGGGACTTTCTTTTTGCCTGGTCTTGAAGAATTTATAATGAATTTGCTTTGGCCAAATAACTTTTACTAGGCTGCGTGTTCCCCAAATACGTGTGTGTATCCACACTGCACATACTTGTAGCTGAATGTTTGTCAGTCGGCTCACGTCTGGGCCCTGGCTGGCACTCTAGGAATTGGCAACAGAAAAAAGAGTGCTGGTCCGTGGTTGCCAGTGATATATGGCCAGGAGATTCGACCTACCGATTGGTGGAACAGCAGAGCCCAACTGCATTCCTGCGGGAATTACTTGACTTTTAAAAGCCAAAGGTTGCAGGCCCCTAAATTCCAGCGAAAGAAAACCATAAAGTAACAGCGAGTTTAAACTCTAGAGCTAGTAGAAAGAACCTTAAAATCTACCCTACTCTTTTTAGTGAACTTGACCGACTTAAGATCCACGAAAATGCTAATCAAAAGGCTAACCGAATTGGTAGAAAGCAAAATCACGCCCACGCCTAAATCACACCTTGATCAACGATTTCCCTTGAATTGAATTGTTGATTTCTTGCCCCGATTCGATTTATTCGAATTCAGAAGATTAATAAAAAATTGATCGGGGAACACAGAAAAAATAAAACGATGTTATTGGGATGAATGGCATAACAAACTTTACTTAACAATAAATAAGAACCTATTGAGATAAAATAGAGTTTAATCTTCTATTTAATAAAGTTTCGAATTTCATATCGCAGAATATGTTTTTATTTATTTATTTTGACTATAATAATAATATGATAAATACAAAATGTTTAAGGAAATATAGATACAACCTGTAGGGGATTTCAATGATGCAAACAAAACATTCTATAATTTATGGTATATGACATGACCTTTTTTCAAAAGTCAATTAATTTTAGGAATCAGTATAAATTTTCTCTCTGTGCAGACGATGATTCAAAGCGGATTCTTAAATCGTCGCCTAAATGCTCGAATGCCGGTGCTGAGCCATGCCATGCCGTTGGCAAAAGCGAAATAAAAATTTTATAAAAAGTAGGCTAAATATATTCATACTTTGATTTTTATGGGTTGCTCGTCGTCTCTGTCTCCCATTTCTGGTTTACAGGTAGAAGAAGATTCTCATTCTCATTCAAGCGTTTCAACTTCTCCCGTTCTTAAAGAAACCTTGAGGAAAACTAACAACAATAATAACAACAACAACAACAACGGGGTGCGTAAAACTATTTGCAAAAAGCGGAATTATAAACTGTTAACCACAACGGCGTTCTGGGTCAAAGATTCCCAACATCTCTTCATTCGCATTCTGATTGGCAGGCAACCCTCGAGAATATTGTCATAAATCGGTGTTAATTGCCAGCTTTAATGTAGCGCCAAAAGGTAACAGTACAGGTACTGCCTACCTGCCCATCGAGTAAATGATAATGATGCGAATTATGCAGTGAAACTTCTGCCCAGATCCAAAGCATCAAAAACGAGAGCGTAATGAGTAAAAGTGTTGCTGCAGGCAATTTGGGTCTCGTCCCCTCCTCGACTTCTCTATTGTCATTAAAATTCCTCGATTCTAGTGGCGGTCAGCCAAAAGGGTTTTCATAGCCTCGTTTCCACGGATTCCTCAGATTTGGATCCCACCATCTGGACAATGGGCAGTCGCAGTCACAGTCCAAAAATGAAAGCGCCGCTGTCGTCAACCTGTGTGGGGCAGTGGCGTAGGTGTGTTATGAGGGGTATTACAGATGCCCCGCGTGAGAAGTTTATAAAAAAGGTATTCTAGTACAGATTAAGCTAAAACTACAAAGAGCTTGAGTGTCTTTTAAGAAGTCAGTGGTCGCAGTTCCTTGTCTTTTTAAGACCTTAAAACCTTCTTCCTTGAGTTAATACAATATTTGTTAGAGCCCCCTTTGGAGAAAAGTCTGTGTACGTCACTGAGCGGGGGAGTGAAAGGGGAGGTGATAGCCGGAGGCAATGAAGCCAGAGTCCATGCACTTGTCTCGCTCTCTATCTCTATCCCTCACATTCTCCCCATTCCGCTCTGTGGTCTGGGGAAAACGTGATCTGCATAGTGGCCGTTAAGGCTGCTGCTTCTTCTGGAGAAAAAAAAAACCATTGAAAGTTTTGTCGCTTCGGGGTTATCACGGCATCGAGCTTTGTTGTCTGTCGCGGAACGAAAAAAAAAATATGGAAAAACCCCCCAACAGAAAACAACGGTCTAATGCGCAACGGTGCTGAGAACCGGCAACAAAAACATTTGCACAGTTACGTTGCACATACGACCCGTTGGCTTCCCGTATCGATATTATTGATCGATAAACGTAAACAGCGCTTTTAGGTTGCCATAATTGAAATTAGTGGATTTACTATTCTATTAAGCTAGAGATTAAAATTAAGTATCTTTTAACAATTGGCGGCTAAGAATGGAAACTAATAGTTGTCTAACATGGAAAGTAATACCTGGATTTAAGCTTTTCCTGTAATTTAGACAAGCATTTTAAAAAATTTTTAGCGAATAATAAATAATAAATTGCCAATTGGCATGAAGAAAGTTCTAGTCTAAAATAAGTATGAGAATTAAATATTTAATTGATAGAAATGATTATCAACCTTCTTAAATATCCTTTAACCTCTTGATTTCAGAGTTGTTTATGAATCCTATCCTATGCTTTAATCCCACCTTCAAAAATATTAGTTCTTTCGTCAGATTCAGCAAAATGACTATTATTATAAATCTTTGAATCACATTTTTTAGTCTTTTTTCATGAACTGTCAATCAAATGATTAATATTTTTCTATGTCGAGATCCAAGGTCTATTTTGGAACATATTCTATTTGTGGCTCTCGCCATGTTGACAGCAGCTGCAAGACAATTGGCCTTTGCTTTTCATCGGATCAACTGACTGGCTTTTCCTGACCAACTGCTCCACAATCGACGGACAAAAGCCTCTGGGAAATTGTGTCAGTCAAGCGAGCACAATTCTCTCTCAATTCTCAATTCGTTTCAATCACAATGCATTATCACTGACATCCATTGAGAATGTGGAACTCGCCGGAGACAGACGGCGAGACAGAGATGGCATCATGGCCCGCAGCTATGGGCTACGCTTATCAATAAACCAGTTCCAGTTGTCCAAAGCCCCCATTGCGTGCAACGAGCGCAGTCGCAGTCGCTGTCTCACAGTCACAGTCAAAGTCACAGTCCACAGTCAACGTCACCTGTGGCTATTTGTAAGCTGTCAATAATCTGTCGACATTGCAATGCTTTCCCGAGACCAATTTTCACTCGTGCAGTCGCTGATCTGTTTGCTTTTCCAATGTGTTAGAATTTAATTTCATTTGTTATTAAGCGCCAATGTTTGTTTATGCGAGCTTTAAGCCGAGAGTGGAGACCGGAGCGTGGAGATCGAAGCGCAAGAGGGAGATGGCGATGTGGGTCGTTAACCTCGTTATAACGGCACCTGATACACGAACCAAGCCGCTGCTCTTGACAGTTTTGCTCGTCGCTTTGTCTCTTTTTGCCGTTCTTGTTGTTGTTGGTGTATTTCTCGCTTTGGTTCTTTCTAGCCAGGCTTTGTTGCGCCCTCTCTTTTCCTCTTTCGCTGGCAAAGCAAAAACATTTGGTGCACCTTGTTGTTGCTGTTGTTGTTATGTAAGCCTAATGACGGGAGCTGTTTGAAATTGTCAACGGTTCGTCAATGGGTTTTTAATTAATGCGTGATTTGCCGATTTCCAAAGCAAAGCAATAATGCCCAATTTATGTACAAAAACTATTTGCATTTCTCTGGCGGCTATTGGTGATTTGGTACAGTCATGTCCGTGCCAACAATGAACCCTCGCGGACCTAAGAAAGTCGCCTCATTAGGTGCCGAGAGAGACCCAATCAAGATGGCAATTACCAGGTAAAAATACGTCTCTCTTTCTGGTGACAGGTTCAAATGGCAATGGCTTCTCCGGGTCCCAGGGGTCCCGTACCTGTCTTTTAATGTCGAATTAAGAGGGGACGACGACGACAATGAAGACGGCCGCGAGCATTTATTAAACGAAATTGCTGAAGAGTCATAAAAACGGAAAGTCGGACCAACCAAACGACACACAATGCCAAGAAAAGCGCGTTTAATGAGCCACAGAATTTGACAAAAGGCAGTTACGAACTGTCGGAACTCGGTGAGAGTGTCGTGTCCATCGGCTGCATCCCAGACTCACACGGAGGCCAGTCTGCACGTGTGCAAGCTCCCCTATTCCCGCTACACCGCTTCCTCTGCGATCATTAAAGTCGTGTAATGAATGTGAAAAGAATTAAATAATAGAATTTCGCTTTCGTTTTTCCCACCGAACCACACGCAATGACCATTACGGCCCCACACTCTTGTGAATCATTTCGTTTTTGTCAAATGCCTAACTAAAAGAAAGTTGGGAAAAAACAACTTTAACTGGCAAACAAAACAATAATTGTAATGGTACAAAGAAAATATTTATATCAATTAAGAAATATTTGCGGTATTCCGCCATTGACAGTCGTTGAATTGGACACAAAGGCTGCCAGAAACGCTACGATTATCATTTCGCATGTCGTACGTGTATGTACGTGCAGCGATTTTCTCAGCAGAAAGCCAAGTTTGAGGGGGCAAAGAAATGCCAAAAGCAAATTTTGTGCTGCAATTTTAATTCAATCGAAACTGGTTTTTCGGCTCTGGCACTTGATCAGCAGCCAAATCTGCACAGAGAAAGTGAAAGAAAATACATGAACGCGCGCGCGGATAAATAAAAACCGCAAGAAGAGGCAATAAAAAGTTCAGACCATATTAGAAGTCAGCTTTGCATGCCGTTGAAAAAAATGGGGGGAAAAATGAAAAAAAAATGGTATGTATTAACATTTCTTCTCGGCTCGTCTGGATTTCTTCTTTGTTTTTACTTTCACGTACGATGGATGATGGCTCACGAGATTGTTATTTATGAGCTTAATTAATTTGTTTATGGATTTCGGGGCTAAGCGGGTCAAGTATGTGAAAATAGAAACTTTTCATCGGCGGGCTCCACTCTGTGGGATAGGCCCTTGTAATCTGGACAGTGGCGTACTTTTCCCAGAACTCCGTAGAGGGAGTTCCCCTGGCCAGATGCTAGATTAGACATACAAGTACTAGTACCCGGACCATGGTCAGGGTCAGCGGTTCAACGGCAGGCCATAAAACACGTTACAACACTTACGGAACAGCGGTCTAGACCAGAGTTTGGTCAAGTCCAGTTGGCCATTCTGCGTGACGCAGCATTTCCAGCGATCGGCTACCGTTATCCGCACGGGCCCAAAACCGGCGTTTTAATGTTTAATTAATTAAAAAAAATATCCTTGTTTAAATGTTATAATTTCAAAAAGTTTGCAGTGACTTTTTATTGAATTAAAACATAAAAGTAAAAGAAAATAACTTAAATTGATTGTTGAAGGGAATCTTTAAAACTCATACAGTGATCATTAACCCGAAATGGATAAGTTCAACTTTAGTTTAGTGCAGAAAAGAAAGAATTGTTTTGGATTTCAGCTAAGCAGAATTTAATCAAAATTAAATAATTATAAAAGAGGGTTACCAATTATTATATATGCTCCAAGTTTAGCCAATTTTCACGCCCAATAATCAGCATCTAATAAATTATCGGTTATTATTCTACTCCAATTTCTCAATTACCCAATGAAAGCTTGTGAAAAAATGATCCCTCCTCCATCTTAGTCAAACCGTTTCGTAACCCATATCCGCATCCGTATCTCATCGTTGCAGCACCTAACGGCTCTCTGCGTCATCAGCATCGCACTCACCTGCGCGAATGCGGCACTGTGGCCGAGTTACAGCAGCGCCGATGATGACGCGCCCCTCAGCCGGTGTGCCGGGGGGCGTGGCCTGAAGTACCTGTCCGGCGATGCGCTCACGGACTCGCCCGACTGCCTGGGACCCAACAATGCTCCGTATCCGAGGTGAGTCAGTCGGTGTGTAGTGGCGGCTGGCGGTGGCGGTCAGCCAACTTTCTTTTCTATCGTATATAACCATAACCCCCTAATTGGGATCTCCTCTTTGCAGCGCGGCCGTGGCGCGCACCTTCTCCAACTGGAACGGAAACTCGCGACGTGGCCGCCAGAGCAAATTGCCCAGCACGCTGGACCCCGCCATAACCACTAGTGCTCTGCTGAGGGCCTACGACGAGGTAAATAACGAGGCCGTCGGAAGCAGTCGCTACGGTAAGTAAGCCAATTGGTCCACACCTCCACCACATAGCTAAATGACTGACTGACTGACTGACTAACCAACCGACCGACTGGCTGATTGATCGATTGATTGACTAATCATTGGGTGATATGATCACAGGTCGATCTCTGAAGAACGCCACGCCGGCGCAGCAGTGCAAGAGCGAGACACCGGCGCGGCTATGCAAAACGCGCTACAACACTACGGCGCCGATGTATGGCGTTAGTCTTACCTCTGGCCAGCCGGTGACCATAGTCCAGAAGTTCCCCGATCTCCTCCAGCAGGTGGTCTTTGAAGTGTGCGAGTAAGTAGATGATGGGTCATCAAAGATCTGTAATGTTTTAAATATTAAAATTTAAATTCTACCTCCAGATCCTCTGAGTGCGACGTGGTGCGGGGAGAGTGTACGCAAACCTATGTGCCTTACCTGTTCCTGGTCATTCCCCTTGGCCCGGTGACTCTAACCGGCCAGGACTATGTGCTGGTGGAGAGCGGATGTGTGTGCAAGCCAAAATACTCGACGGGCGCTGCCCAGGAGCCCAACATGATACCGTAGGCGGGGTCGGGGTCACCAAAAAACATCCCATCCACCCCACCAGGAACAACAACAACAACAACAACAGCAACCAAAAGAACTGAGCGAGTTTTGGGTCGTAGCGGAGCGGAGCTGGAGCTGGGCTAACTGGCTGGCTAAATTAATGTGTACTTAAACGAGGAATTATTTTTTGTAGCGAAATCAATTTTGCAATGTTATTTAATGTTTTCCCCATCTTATCATATTCTCCTTTCATTCCCCCCTCTCAGCTGTATAAAATTGAAATGGAATTTTGCTCGAAAAATAATCAAATCCTAATGTTAAGTCTAAATTTAAACAAAATTGAAATAATGCCTTTGTGCATTTGTAGTGTGTATTTATTAGAACCCCTAATTACGGCATTCGAAAATGCAAAATAAAAACATTCGTTTCGAAATGTTGATGAAATTGTTTAATTTTTAAAATAAATTAGAATTTTATTTGTAATATTTTATAAACTTCTTATTATATGGGAAGTCCTACAATTTTAAAATATAACATTAACATGTGAAAATATTTAATTTGGGTCAAGAGGCAAGAGATGCAAGTTAATAGAAATTTATTCAGGGTTCCATAGCTCACAAATTTAAAATTTATTTAATTTAAATGAATTATTCATTAGTTGTCAAATGTAATAATTTATTTCTTTGATTTTAATTCAAATATTAATTCATCTGTAAATTCGTTGATGTTCGCGTTTGGTATTATTTGAATTTAACGGCCGGTGAAAGTATTTAGTATATTTGGAGTACATTAACGCGACGGGATGTGTCGGTATATTTGGCAGAGCCTTTGGTATTTTTCACGGTCGCCTGGTCACATTGCGTGCAGACCGTTTTCACGAATCTTTTTATTTTGCGAGGAAAAAGTGCAAGCCATAAGTGACGGAAAAGGCTTTTGTGAACGCGACAGGTGTAACTGACTAACCGCGCATCACCGAAAGTGCGTTACCAGCGATCCGCAGCTACATAACTGGCCGCGAGAGCAGAGCATCCCCGGCCCTCACACATACACACTGCCCCTGGCTGTGGCGAAAAGACGCTGTGCGTGTGTGTGTGCGTGTAGACAATTGACTTGCGTGGTGCCGGGTTACATATATTTTTATTGAATTTTTTCCCCGTCGAAGGAGCAAACAAATGTGCCTGGCCTAGAGGGGAAAGAATTTGGCGGCAGTGCACCGATATCCCCCTCCCTTAGCGAGAGAGACTCAGCGAAACGCATCCAAGATGATGTTCACGGTAAGCGCGCGCCCCCCGCCCCAGTCCACAGCAATCGATAATGCTTTTCCCCACCCTCGTTGCTTCGCCGTTCACTTTGCGCTTCCATTTCCATTTTTCCAATGTTGTTTTTTTAACTAAAAACATCCGCTTGACATTTTTGTTGTTTCCATTCCAATATAATGTATCGTCCACAGGGCACCAACCAACAGCAGGACACTAGGTTCAGCGACAAGGAGAAAAAGCTGATGAAGCAAATGAAGTTCGGTGACTGCTTGAACAAGCGGGTGGACATGTCCAAGGTGAAGCTGGACGTGCTGCGGCCGTGGATCAGCAAGAAGATCACCGATATCCTGCACATCGAGGACGATGTCGTGGTGGAGTTTGTCTACAACCAGCTGGAGGAGGAGAAGTACCCGTGCCCCAAGAAGATGCAGATTAACATGACGGGCTTCCTCAACGGCCGCAATGCTCGGCAGTTTATGGGCGAGCTGTGGGCACTGCTGCTCTCCGCACAGGAAAGCGATTCGGGCATACCCGCAGAGTTTATACAGCAGAAGAAGGATGAGATACTCAAGCGCGAGGAGGAGCAGCGTCAGAGGGACCGCTCCCGCTCTCGCTCTCGTTCCCGCTCTCGTTCACGATCTCGTTCGCAGCGTGCTAGCTCTCGCCGGGATCGGCAGCGTGACCGTTCGCCCAACGGCGGCGGCAAGTCCAAGTCCCGCTCACGTTCCCGTTCCACCAAGCCGTCTAATAACGGTTCAGTGCCCAGTGCAGCCCGTGAAGCGGCGGCCAATGCGGCAGCACGCATCCGCAAGCGTGACTCCTCCACGACTGCACGCCCTGGCTCCAGGGAGCGACGATCCAGCCGTAGGCCGCGTTCACGCTCTCCGCGCCACTCCCGCCAGAAGTCTCGGTCTGGATCGAGAGGCTCTGTGAAGAAGACTGGCTCCGTGGAGCCCGCACCTGCCAAGACTGTAAATGGCCGCCATTCGTCGGACAAGTCACCGGCGCCGCCACCTGCCAAGGGCAAGGCCAAGTCGCGTTCACGATCACGATCTCGATCCCGATCATCTCGCAGCCGCTCACGCTCGGGCAGCCCCAAGCGTTCCCGCTCACGTAGCTCCTCGCGTCGCAGCCGCCGCCGAGGACGCTCTAGCAGCATCTCCTTGTCACCAGAGCGCAACCAGGATCAGTTCGAGCATCGTCGCAAGAAGAACAGTGTGCAGAACAAGCGGCAGTATCGGAACAATCGAGGTGACTCTGCCAGCTCTATGGAGCGTGGCAATGATCGAGGCAGGCAATTTGGCGGTGGAGGCAATCGTCGAGGTGGCGGCAGACGCTTTTCACCGCGAGGACGCAGCCCGATGCGTCAGGATAATGGTGGAGGTGGCGGAAACCGTTTCCAACGATCCAATTCTCGCCGTCGATCCCGATCCCGACGTCTATCAAGGTCACCTATGCGCTACTCGCGCTCACCAAGACGGTGAGTTTGGTTATTAATTCACGTAATTACCTTTCATTGACTAAATATGTGTGGTAACTCTGTCCTTAGCTTCAACAACAACCGACGCCGCTCTCCCATGATGAACTTTAGAGGCGGGGGACGTGGTGGCAACCGTGGCGGTCAGCATCGTCAGATGTGGCAGCATCGAGGCGGTTCACCCAACTTCCGCGGTGGTGGCCGAATCCATTGGCAGGCTAGGCAAAGTCCTGGCGGTGGTGGCCGTGGTGGCGGCGGAATGGGCCGTTTCGATAGACGCCAGTCTCCGCAGCAAAACCGCTTCAACCAACGCGACCACCGGCAGTCCCCCATGCAGCAGGGCCACCAGCAGTTCCGTAAACAGTTCTCGCCACCCTCGGGTCCCGGACGTCGCTTCTCCTCGCCCCAACAAAGACGAAACTCACGTGATCGTCGTCCCAACTCTAGGGAGAGGCGCAGTTCTCCAGGCGGTGGGCATGTAAACCGCTGGGACAATCCGCCACCGGCCAGGCCAAGACGCTCCTCATCGGGCAGTTCGGTTGAACCTGCAGGTGGTCGCCCGCCTCAGCAGCGACAGCGCAGCCCGAGTCCGCAAGAGAGGCGCGGACGTAGCCGCAGTCGCAGCCACAGCCATAGTCGTCAAAGAAGCCGCAGTCGTTCCAGTCCTCGACCCAGCCGCAAACGGGACAGTCCAATCGGTAAGTTTGGGACGCAAAAGGGGGTTCCACTCGAAACTGAATGTAACCAAGGCTTAAACCATTTAGGGCGCTCATCGGTGGAATTCGCTGGACCGGCTGTAAACACCATCGATCTCTGCCGCGAAGAGCAGCAGCGTAAATCTAAGACAGAAGCAGTCATTGTGGTGGAACCGTCTCCGGCTCCTGCCCCAGCTCCAGCTCCAGCTCCGGCTCCGGCTCCGGCTTTCGCCAGGCGCAACAGCTACGCCAGCCTGTCCCGCACGCCTTCTCCGTTCCTTAAGCCCCATGAGCGCCTGGCTGCCAAGGCGGCACCAAAGAAATCCCGCGACCAGAGCCAAAGCAGCAGCTCGGACAGCAGCGCGGACAGTGATGACAGCGAAGAGCAGCAGCAGCCGCGGCGCAAGAAGCAAGCGCCGATAGCTTCCGAAACTGCGGCCAAAGGCAAAGCGAAGGAGAAGGCGCGCCGCAGCTCGGACAGCTCTAGTAGCAGCGATCAGAGCGACGACGATGACAACTCCAGCGGTGATGAGCGCCACAAGAAAAAGAAACAGCAAATTCTAAAGGAAAAGGAGAAGGAGGCGGCTATAGCCGCGGCAATTCTAAAGGAGAAGGAGCGCGAGAGGGAAAAGGATAAACGACGCTCAGACAAGAAATCCAGGCGCGCTGCCACATCCAGCGGTGATGAGGAGTCCTTGGGAGGCAGCAGCAGCAACCGCAAACGCAGCCACAAGAAGCCGCGACGGGATGAGGCCGGGGAGGACGGCAACAGTGACTCCGAGGACGAGGCAATGGCAAAGAAGAAGCGCAAGAAGGCCAAGAAGGTGGCGGAATCGAGCGATAGCGAGTCCGAGGCCTCCTCAAAGCGAAAGCATAAGCATAAGAAACATAAGAAGCACAGCAAGAAGAGCAAGAAGCATAAGAAGCACAAGCGGAAGAGCAGTGCCGGCAAATCGCGGGCGGACAGCAGCTCCCCGGGAAGTAGCGAAGAGGAGGAGCAGTCAACTGTCAAACGGAATGGAACAGGCAAGCTGCCGCTACTGCTAGCGGGCGGATCGGGGCCGGGGATCATTAATGAGGACCTGGAGAAGCAGCTCCGGGAGCGGGCCCTCAAATCGATGAAAAAGCTGGACTGAATGACAGACTAAGTGCGAGAAAAATGGCCCTGCCCTCTCCACGCCACACACTCTCAGCCACACACTGACATGAAGACACATCCGCTCATGCCACACACACAGCACCTTCCCTCCCCATACTCACACACAGACAGACGTACGTAGCCATTAAAATAGAATTATACATTTAAAGCAAAAACTATACATTCATTAACTGCATACATTGTAATTCTTAAAAATGTATTTCACATAAAATTAAGTTCTTTCGCCTAAACGAGAAAAAGTAGCAACTAAACTAGCGAGCGAATGACTACAGTTTGTATTATGTACAAAAACAAAAAGCAAACAACAATTGAAGGGAAAACCAATTAACCATTTATAACTATTTAGCCCCAAGAGTGGTTTTAAATGCATTAAATTCACACACACATACATAGGCAAGCGTAAATCCGTTTGGCAAATTGTATTGTTGCCGCAGTTTAATTTATAAGTAGGTTTTACAGATTGTAATTAATAATGCCTGAAGCGCTAATTGTGTGTTTTAGGGGCATTAACTAAAAATGAGAAAATAAACAATTGTAAAATTACAAAAAAATAACTGCCATTTCGATTAACTATAAATAATCGATTGCAATTTATATTATCGGTGCAAAAACTCGGTTTTTTATTAGGTGGGACCAGGTGTGAACGAAAATATTCGCTTCTATTTGTGTTTAATCATTTTATTTCTTTAAATTTATTTACTTCCTTCGGTTATATTATTGATGTATTTATTTTAAATATGATTTAAAATCAAAAGCGGCAATCCTGTTGCTATCTGGCCCACCACTACGGTGGGATACATGCTTTTGTATACAAAATAATACTAATAATAATATAAAATATCACTTTGATATTTTGATATATTTTCAACAACTCTAATCAAAATACTTGCTACACAAGCTATCAAAAAAAAAAAAAACTATAGAGGCAACCTTGAACCCGTCAGCCAACTAGATATACTAATTTACGGTCTTTCTGTTAATTAATATCTTTAAAAATGTAAAATGTTATCTAGTTGTGTAAAATATTAGCTAGCCATGTATATTGATATTTATTCGTGGTAAATGTTAAATAACAGCTTAGGGACACAGATTGAACAGAAACAAATTATCAAAAACCCTCAAGAAAAACTATTGATATATTGGTATTTTGATATACTTTTAGCAACCAACAACAACCCAACACCCTACAGCACCCGAGAGAGAAGAAAGCGGATATTTATAGACGTGTATCATGTAAAATTTTAAATAATAGCTTCGAAATTCAGAGTGACCAAAAAAATATATCAAAATATAAATACCGCAGCATCGATATTTGGGTAAAATATCGCGATATATTTTCAACAGCCCTACCTACCACCAAATCCGGCAACCCTGTTCTTGTCTGGCCCACCGCTTCCTTTTCCTTTTGTATTGCAAGACGGACGGTACGTGTATTTTTAATTCGTTTATATTTTGGTCATCGGCCTTTGTTATTGTGAGCCGGCGATCGAAATGGGCCTCCGGTGGGCCGACAGAAACGGCAAACATTGTATGCGGCGCCCGGGGCCAGCGGATTTCTGTCAACTGAAGCCGCTTTCTGCGCGTCGACCGAATGTTTACACAAAACTAAAAAATCGATTTTTCTTATTTGCAGTGACCGCCCGTTGAATATAGAGAATCAAACAACATGGTGAGTGATGTTCAATGCCCAAGCAGAATCCCCAGTGAAAAGGGTGACCGAGTGGCTTTTTCGCCGGGGAATCTGTGAATTTGAAGCGCCGTCGGAATCGGATAACTGAACTCATACCATTTGTTTTGCAGGCTCGTGGTCCTAAGAAGCATTTGAAGCGTTTAGCCGCGCCCAAGGCATGGATGTTGGACAAGTTGGGAGGTGTCTTCGCCCCACGCCCCTCGACCGGCCCACACAAGCTGCGCGAGTCGCTGCCCCTGCTGATCTTCCTGAGAAATCGCCTCAAGTACGCCCTCAACGGCGCCGAGGTGACCAAGATCGTCATGCAGCGCCTGGTCAAGGTTGACGGCAAGGTCCGCACCGACCCCACCTACCCGGCTGGCTATATGGGTGAGTTGCGCACTGCAAGCGCTTCCTGGAAATCTGGTTAAACTATAGTTTTGTTCTGGGTCGATTTCTAGATGTCATCACCCTGGAGAAGACCGGTGAGTTCTTCCGTCTGGTCTACGACGTGAAGGGACGCTTCACCATCCACCGCATCTCCGCCGAGGAGGCCAAGGTGAGTTAACCCTTTCCTGTCGAAGGGCAAGCGAATTTGGTGCCGGTTGTGTTTGTGAATTTTCGGGAGGACGAAAGGGCTTTGTCGAAGACCGATTTGTGTGTAAAATAGTGCGTGAATTGGTTCAAAATGAAGCCCAAAGCAATTTTTGATACGACGGTCTCTGATCTGACATACTCTGCAGTCATTTCAGTAACTTTTACGTGCAATTACAATTAATCAAACTAACAAACGGAATCAATAGTGAACGATTTTAAAAACTCTGTGTGGGCTTGGTCGAAGACCGATTTGCGTCTTTTGCAATGCGTTAATTGGTTCAAATCGAAGCCCAAAGCAATTTTTGATACGACGGTCTCTGATTTGGCAACACAAAGTCATTTCAGTAACTTTTACGTGCAATTACATTTTTAATGAGTTTCTTCTTTGAATGATTGTGACTAACTTTGGCATTTATTTTCCACTCTTTACAGTACAAGCTGTGCAAGGTCAAGAAGACTCAGCTGGGCGCCAAGGGTGTTCCATTCCTGGTCACACACGACGGTCGTACCATCCGCTACCCGGATCCCCTGATCCACGCTAACGACACCGTGCAGGTTGACATTGCCTCCGGCAAGATCACCGATTACATCAAGTTCGATTCCGGTAAGATATTGCACGACATCAAATACTCTTGGCTGGTTCGAAGACCACAAAACGTTAACTAATCAAGTTGCGTGGTTCAAATACATTTAGCCAATAGCATTTTTTGTCACGACGGTCTCTGCTTCGGTATTCCACAGCCGTTGCAGTAACTTTTACGTGCAATGACATTCGCATACCTATATCCCATTGTTTTTATTTCACTAAACGAACCCTTTTTGCTCTACAGGAAACCTCTGCATGATCACCGGAGGCAGGAATTTGGGACGTGTCGGCACCGTTGTCAACCGCGAGCGTCACCCCGGATCCTTCGACATTGTTCACATTAAGGATTCCCAGGGCCATGTGTTCGCCACCCGTTTGACGAACGTGTTCATCATTGGCAAGGGCAACAAGCCCTACATTTCCCTGCCCAAGGGCAAGGGTGTCAAGCTCAGCATCTCGGAGGAGCGCGACAAGCGTCTGGCCGCCAAGACCCACTAAGAAGAGGACAGGAGTTTAAGGATTTTTACCTTTTAGCATAACTCTGTACGTTAAGCTACGGAATTACAAGCCAAGAACGTAGAAATTGTGTTTCCTTTGGATCTTACAAATGCGGTTTGTAACTGAATTACAGATTCTGTGTTTATTACTACAGAAACTAGTTTAAAAAGTTTGAAATATTTAAGGGCAACGAATTAAATTCATTCGTTTTAAGCATTTAAAAATATGTTTTCTTTTTTAAAGCGGCAACACTTAAAAGTAGGAAATAGTAATATTTTGGGAACGAAAGTATATACTTTGTGTTTTAAGTGATAATTAAAACAGCTTTTTATGCGCTAAATAAAGGCATCAAGGTGGAGTTTTCATTTTACGTAGCGAAATATTATTTTCTTAAAGCTATGTTGCTTAATCTAGGGTCTAGGAACATGGTTTTCAATACTAAAATTAATTAAAATTAATTGAATCGGTTTTTTTAAATTCACGCTTGATTTATAGCGAAGAACACCACCAGGCTTAACCGAAGTACCCCATCTGTTGGGTCATATGCTTGCCATTTTTACCAGGGACGAACCGTTCCGAGTTATTTTTAATTTAAAAACACTTAAATATATTTTTAAAATTAATTATGTATTATCAGATTTTATTCATAGGTGTATTTTTTTTAGGAGAATTTTATTAACAAGAAAGGTTTGTATACCATTGCAGTTTTCATTGAGGTTATTAAGAGCCTTTCAATGTTAGTCTAATGAGAATATAAACTAACATGAGATTAATTATATATGTACACTATTTAGAATCGTGTAAAATAACAAAATTTCAAGGTTAAAATATGAAATATCCAAAAGTAATATAAATTGATAGTAATATCAATAACAACGAAGTAATGTCATCATCTATGGAGTTGATGCTGAATAAGTCTATATATATATATATATACTTTATAGGATCGACGTTGCAAACTGACTAAAATTATAATACACCTTAAGGGTATGTAAGGAGATATTTTACACCAGCAGAAAAGATTTTTATATAGAACCGTTCTTTATTGGGATTTTATAATAAATTACACTTACATTTGTTGTATTATAATTTTTAAAGAAATTAAGTTAGTTTTTAACCGCTGTATTAATTTAAACTAAGTTTTTAAACTTTGTATGTACAGAAGGGTCAACTTTTATGCCCAGCACTGTGACTTCTCAACAGCTGGCATCCCTGGTACATTCACAGTTCGCTGGCGTATTTTCCCGAGTCATATGGTAATACTGTAACGGCCGCCGTGGTCACACTGTTTGTGCGTTGGAGCTCCAGGAAAAGAAGTCGCTTCGAAGTAAGTCCCAGGGCGTTCCAGGTCCGCTGCCAGGCGGAAACCCTACAAGAGTTGTGCCCCAACCGTCCCCACCCCCCTCGCTGGTGGAACCGTGTGCGAGGGGGAAACAAGTAGGGGCCACCACTGTACACACACCAACACGGGCGCACACACACACACAGAGCTGCATCATATGTTGATAAGTCGAGCACAAAAACAATGCCCAGCACTCTGCACCGAGGTCTTGGCATGTGAATCATTTGTAGGGATTTGTTTGTTTGTGCGCGGTATTAGGTGTCGCCCCATTTTCAAGCCCCCAACTCCCCACTAAACCCACAGGCACACACACCACACACACAGAGAGCAGCAATCATGTCCCAGGCCTTGAACAACCCCGCCGGAGGAGGAGGCGCAGGCGGAGGAGGTGGCCCGCATCGCGACTATGGCTCAACGGCGGATACGGCTTCCACAACGACGCCCGAGGTGAGCTTCGCAGCAGCCGGTGGCTCATCCGGCTTTAGTCCAACGGAGTTCATGTCGCTGAGCGAGGACATTGGGCACAACATCACCGCGGTGCTGAGCAGCACCAAGCAGCTGGAGAAGCAGCTCAAGTTGATTGGGACGCCCCGCGACACGGCAGCGCTGCGCGAGAAGGTACATGCGATCAACACGAAGACCAATGCTCGGATCCAGACCACCAGCCAGGATCTCCAGCGCCTACAGGCCGTTGTACGGCATGGAGATCGCCAGCAGAAGCTGCAGCTGGAAAAGCTAACGCGTGAGTTCCATGGCGTGGTCGAGAAGTACTCGAACCTGCAGCGGCGCATCTCCTCGGCGATGCGTCAGACCCTGCAGCAGGCCCAGGATTTGGCCGAGCACGAGGTGGAGGCAACGGCCCGCGCCGAGTTGCTGCAGCAGCAGCGCCTGGAGCAGGCCGGACTGCAGCAGGAGGTCGATATGCTCGACGAGCGCCGGCGCCAGGTCGAGCAGATTGAATCGGACATTATAGACGTCAACCAGATTATGACCCGGCTGAGCGGATTGGTGCACGAGCAGGGCCAGCAGATGGGTGAGTCCAGTCCGATGAACCTTTGACTTAAAAGAACAAGCGTAGAATTAATTTTTATTTGCATAAAACATTTATGCTTGAACGAAATTTTATAAAACATATTTGAGCATCGATTACGAGGCGTTGCTTTGGTAAACAAACTAAAAGACTGATAAGCTGATAAGAGCTATTTGCAAAGACATATTTATGAAATGAGTAACTGTGGAATATTTTGCGACTTAAATATTTACCAACTAAGATTAGTTTTAAGGTAAAATTGTCAACAACTAAACCCCACTAATTAATTCACAGACTTCATCGAGAACAGTATTGAGCAGACGGCCGCCAATGTGGAGGATGGCACCTCGGAGCTGGCCAAGGCGGCCAGGAGTCGTCAGAGCTACCGGCGCAAGATATTGATACTCCTGGTGATTGCTGTGATAATAGGCTTAATTGTAACTGGCGTTATCGTTGCCAAACTGAACAGTTAATTGTTTTATTTTTTGTACTCATTTATTTACACGCAAAACATACACAACACACACCCACATGCATACATACATTTTTGTAAACCAATTTTTATAAGAAACTAAAGATTCGAAATGTTGAAAACTCTGTTTAAAATAATCACCAAGTGAGCAAAGACAACAAGTAGAAGAACAACAAGAATGTAGAGAAAGCTAAAGCGGAAATACAATATTTATAAATATACATATATACACATAAATATATATATATATACATACGTAAATAAGGATAATGAATCCCACTTAAATTGCATATAAACAACAAAATATTCAGCGCTTTTAAATGTTAAATAATGATTTCTTGTTGAAAACGATGATGATTGCCGCGAACAATTTAAGTTTTGCATTGAATGTGAAATTTTTGTGTGTTTAGTTTAAAGCAAGCGAGTAAGCAAACATATATGTTAAATAATTCAAGTTATCATTAAGTGAGCCAGCAATCGAAAATAAAGATAAACTGAACAAAAAAAACAAGTGATTTGAATTTTTCAAAAAGTGCGCCAAGAACAGCTGTGGCAACAATCGGAGAAGTTGGCAGTGCCTTATAGGCGATAAACAGGCTATCGATAGCATCGGTCCCACTGCTCGGCGATAACCAAAACAACGTGCTGCGAAATAGTTATTTCTACTTATTTTCTTTTTCAAATCAACGTTTTAACTATGCCTCAGGGAAAATTCAAAAAGGCCAAGATGCCTGCCTCCATGCAGAAGCAGAAAAAACAAAAGCAGGCTGCCTTCACCCGTCGGTCAAGTGAGTAGCAACAAGTTGCCTTGCATTTTGTCTTATCTGAATTATTTCCATTAGATGCTCCAATTCAAGCCAAGAAGGCCAAGTTCAACGAGACGCAGAAGATCAAGGCCGTCATCTCCAAGTCGGTCAACAAGAGTGTTGAGAGCGAGCTGCGTTCCCGCGCCCACGAGGGCTACATCCAGCTGAGCAAGGCCCAGGAGGCTGTGGCCAAGCACCATTCTACGCAGGCGGCGGCAGCTGCGGCAGCTAGTACCTCCAAGACCGCAGAATAGTATACTTTTAGGCTTAAATATACTCTATAAACTGTTGATAACTGAAAGAGCTGTTTACTGTGTAATGGAGGCTTTCTTAGTTTAGGAATACATTTTATTAAGAGAAATCCTTAACAATTTTCTTTGTTTAAAGTACTTAAAGAATGTTTGTATAGTTTTAACTTCAGTAAAATTAAATTTTGTACTATTTTATACAAAGTTTATAGATAGTTGTAGTACGCAGCGAAAGAACCTTCGAAAACAAATCAAATAACTGCTTTACTCTTTTTTTTACTTTTACTTAAATTTGTTTTATGCACATATTGTTTAAGTTTATGAAAGCTTCTATCTAGTATATTTAAACAATTTCAAAGTAATTCGTTTTCTCTTGGATATGCCATGCAATAATCACCAATGTGCTTGTCAAAAGGTAGTTTAAAAGCTCCAAATATTCTTTAAATTTATGGAAAAAGTCAAATATCCTTGAGCTGCCTTGTTTTTTGCCTTGCCATTAGCTTGTTTGAATGCTTACAAAATTGTTCTTGCGTTGTCTCAAGGGCTTGTTGAACAAGCAAGCACTCCGTGGCAACTTTGACGTTTGCCCAATTTATGGCCGGACCTTTAGTATCCCCCTCTTGGCATAACTTTGGCATTCATTTTCCTACTTATCACAATCAGTTTGTTTAATTATAAAAATAGTTGGCGAACAAACTTTGCTCCGCTGACATTTATTGGACGATTCCTGCTGCAGTCGCTCCGCTCCGCTGTTCCACAGTTCCGCTCCTCTAACGACAGCTATTCATGACAAACTTTTTTGGCATTGGCAGCTTTGACGAAGTGAAAAAAAAATATATAGGAAAATAAGGAAAAAGTGCAACTAACAATTTCTATTTAATTTTCGCAACGTTTCGTTTCGTTTGCTATGCAAATTCTGCCCGCTTTTGATGTGCTTTTAATTAGCCAGCATCCCGCACTCACTCACATGCAGCCGGCAAAAATCCACGGCCAATTGCTTGCTGTTGTTTTTCTCCCTATTTTTTTTCTTTTTATCCATTCCATGCACTTTGATTCCGCGTTTTTCAATCGCATGCAAATGAGAATCCCCCTCCAGGGTGACAGGTGGGCAGGATCCGTGCCCAAGTCCCGAGTGCGCTCGTTTGTCGCTCTTCGAGCGTTTTGCGTTTTTAGTTTAGCACCAGAATTGAAGTGTTTTCAGCATGCAAATGCATTTTGGCACTCAACCTGTGCCAATTGTGCGGGGGTAGACCTTTATGGATTGGCAGTTTTAGCACCAAAAAGGACTTTGAAAATACTCTAAAATCGAGACGGAGTTCTGGGTTTATAATAAAGTTAGTTTTAGTTGACAATTCTTTTGTTAATTTGCAATAAAAACTTGATATTCTTTAAATTTGCAGTGAATTTTAAATTAAGGATACTTTTGGCCGTAAGTATGCTTTAAAATATTTGAAATCCAATTTCTATTGCATTAAAAATATTTTGATGCATACTTTCAGACGTATGTACATATTCAGAAAAATGATTAGAATTTGAATCTTAGAGTATCTTAGAGTATAATTTTAGCTTCCAAGATTTAAAAAAAAATCCTCCTACGCTTTTTGGGGGCTTTTAGTATGACGTTTCACGTGATCAAGTGTCAATCTGTTGGCATTTTGACCGCATTTGGTTGGAATTGATTGATTTGCCATCCAGCCACTCATCCATCCATCCAACCGATCCCATCACTTCCCCCTCTTGTCCACGGGGCTTAACTCAGTCCATTTAATTAAAATATATTCCGAACAAAAGGAGCGGCGGACACCTTTCACGCACTCTCGCACACTCACACACAAAGGATAAAAAGGACGGGTCCAGAGCGGAAATCACACGGTCCAACATCCTTTCGCATTTTCCATCATTTAAATGATGCGTTTGTGTGTGTTTGCCGCTCTGCCTTTGCCATTGCGTTTGCATTTGCTGGATGCTGCCTTTAGCCGGTCGGTGAACTATTTGAATACCGATGTATGGTGTGTCCCACTGCCGGACATTCCAGGTAGCTGCTACAGGAGGCCTGCAGCACTAGATACACTTATAAAAAAAAAATATTAAAAAAAATTCTATCATAAAGAATAAAGGAAACTAACTTAGGGAGGGCGAAGGATGTATAACATTGCATTTAGCTATAAGATCATGGGTTCCAATGTGCAATTGATCATAACTAAGCCAAAAATGCATTAATATCCGTGAAATACTGACTGAAATTATAATATCCTGCAAGGGCATAAAAATATATTATAAAAATATATATATTCTTACCTCAATAATTACCAATTTATACCCAATTGTAGACTAATTTTTTCATGTGCTTGGGCTACCACGCTTACCTGGCCAGGTCAGCCGCTGCGCCGTCTCATTGTGTTTCCCGGCGAGCATGTAAATTTGTCCAACTGCAAAGGCAAACACTTGAAAAGCGAGCGACAGAGGACCACTGCTGGCGGCCACCTGCGGCATTCCACACCACACCGAACCCATTGCCATTCGATTCCATTCTTATTCTCCTTCCCAAACCCAAACCCAAACCCAATACCAATCGCAATGCCAATACTATTCTCATTATTTTTTGTTTTCCATTTTTTTTTGCATACAATCGAACGTTTCTTTGGTTCCTGGTTCGAGCTCTATGTCCTGTCCAGTCTGTCTGCGAATTCTGATTTATATGATGAATGACAATGAGCAGGGGTTTTGTCTATGTTTTGGGTATTAAGTTTTCCGCTTTAGGGGTTCTTTTTTACACCTTTCATAGGGGGATTATTTTATAAAAGAAGGATTTTAGAAATATGTATCAATCTAAAACATGGTGAAACTCGAATTTGTTTTTAGAGAAAGTAAAGGAGAATATAATAATTCTAGTAATTCAGTAATTCATATTTAGAATCTACCCAGAACCTCGACTAATAGCAAAGCGAAACTGATTCGCTTCGGCTTGGGATTTCATTCAGATTCTTTTCCATTGCTATATCTTCTATATCTCTTCTATCGTTCTGCTAAATTCCCCATATATTTACCTGTGTTCCCCCGATCGATTCACCTGTTAATGAACCACGATGAGCTACGTTACCTATACAAAAATTATACCTTTAAAGGAAGAGAGATAGAAGAGAAGGGCACTGAAAATTCACCTGTCCACACGGATTTCTAACTTTTAATACATAAATTAAGGCTTTAAGCCGAAATGCGAAGGGAAAGGAAACCGAAAAAAAAACACAAAGCAATCCACAGCATTAAAAAGATAAAGACCTGCCCGGGCATTGAGATATTCCACCTGCAGTCGTCGCAGTGGCAGTGGCAGTCGCCAGTTCCCAGTCCCCAGTTCCAGATCAACAACATATAATAATCCCATCAGCATTTTTGGATACGCTTTGCAAATGAATTGTAGAGCGGCGGCATTCCCGATCCCAAAACCGGACTCAACACATCGCGGCTTCGAGGAGGAGAGCGTGGATAATAATAATGTGGAACCGAAAATGAGCCCCGAACTGGTCAACTGGAGGTTCTGCATTTGCACCTGCAACGGATCGGTGGAACTTTGATGGGCCTCACTTGCGTGGCTTATAATTAAATTGGACTTGTAGATACAATTTGATATCCTTCGCCGATGTGCTCCATAAAGCATATGAGCGCGCCAAGATTACATAATGGTTTCTCAGTTAAATTACTTACATTTCCATATCCAAAAGGGGAACTATCTTGTGAGAACTTCTTAGTAAATATATAACTGAAATTTCGAAAGAATTACCCCTGCAAGATAGTAGTTCCTAAGGGGGGATATTTTCTGTGTTTTTATATTTTTTGGAGTTATGTCATAAATATGCCAGGAATGACTTTGCATTAAAATAATTAAAAGAAATACATTTTAGATAAAGCTGACACACAGTCTAAGCCCTGCTTAACGAACTGAAACTAACAAGCCGGCATAGTAAAATATAATAAAATGTTGTACTTTAAGGCAATGTTTCGTTTTAGAAAAGAATGATCTATAATAATATCTAAAAAATGCCTCAAAGGCTGCTATATGTTTCTATTTATTGTTTTAATTTACATGTTAAAGGTGATCAATTTAAAATTAAACATAATTTTTGACCTAACCCAAGCTCTTTGCGTATACAAAAGCGACCTAGGACAACTCTTTGTATCCTATATTTATATCAACAAATTCCCCATTCAGTTATCATTTCCCATATCATTGAGCCCGGACATTATTCGACAAACTGAAATATTAAAGCCCCGGTTACTTCCGGTTGCTGCAAAATAAAAAAGGAATATTATACTTACAAAAAAATACGAGGAAGCCCTGGAAACAAGCCCAAGAAAAAAGGAAGAAAGGAAGAGAGAGTGGCGGAAAAAAAATCTGTTGTTTAAGCAAGAACAACAAGCGGATGTAAATGCGTCCAGCTGCATGCCAAAAACTGCAATTGTCATCGATGCGTTCCGTGTGGTGCGGGGGGAAGGGAGGCTGCAAGGATGCAAGGATACACGGATACACGGATACACAAAGCCAATTCATAAAACAAAAGCATGGGCGAAAAGTGAATTTCAATAACGGATGTAAATAAACCACATGAGATCGATTACCTCCCCAGCGTGCGGGTGAGGTGACTCTGGCTGAGTCCTGCTGTCAGGACAACAGATGCAGGAACCGACTGCAGCAGGTACAGCGCACAATAATAAAGCATCCACAATATCAGTTAACTCAGGGCAGCAGCCGAGGATGCCAAAGAAAAAATCATAACGCCAGCAAAAAACAACAAAATAAAAAAAAGCACACACACCAGAAACATCTGTTCCTCTTTCTTTTTTTTGTGTGTGTAAGAAGCCAGTAAAAGTATGACAGGCTTTAAATTTATTTAAGTTAACAGAAGGCAGGATAAAGATGTACAGATATGAGGAAGGAACACACTGCAGAGTTTGCTAAAGGAAGATATATGAATTTAACTAAGGTATAAAAAATAAATGATTTAATATAATAGGTTATGGCAAGATACCTTTAAGCTGACATTAAATTTCTTCAAAGGTGTTGAAAGTGAAATAATACAAAATCCATATTTTTATACAGTTAATTATTCCTTAACATAAATATAAACAAGTTCTTAAAGGATTCTTTTGAAGCTTGACTATCTTTCCTTATAAATAAGATTTAAAATACTATTTACGTATAA